GGGTATCGGAGCTGCTTAGTTCAGCCGATAAAATATTCATTTTCGTCGGGTTTGACCGGCCTACTTTTTGTTTATGATTTCTCTGACATGACAAATGAAAGCACAGCAAAGGACTAATGGCTAACACCGAAAATTGACCATTCGCTGTGACAACTAGACGAGACCCGTCTTTAACTTGACAACAGTTCAGCTGATATATAGTGAAATGACCTATATTTTAAATATAAGTTAACCTATAATAAATCAAGCGAGTAAAATCATACAGTTCTCTGTTGACTCGGTAAATTGTTTTGTTTGGCCAGATTGTGTTTTCTCTCCGTTAGCTTATATAGAGTTATACGATATACTAATTAATCGATTATAATTAAATTAAACTCATACGACTGCGGGTTCACAACATTGTTAGGCTTTCTAGTGAGGTTTTACCGTCATTACCCATTCATTTAGATAGGATAGAAGAACGTGGTACAAAACTGATGGTTTTTACTAGCGGGATACAATATCAGAATATTTCAAGATGCGAGCAATAAATGGTAAGCAAAAGAGTGAGGCTTGCTTTGCAATGTCCTATCAAAAAATCCTTTATTCCTATTTTCGTTACTCTCTGGTATAGGCTGCGTGATAAAAACTGCGAAAAAAGAATTTTAATTTTATCCTGCCAACCAACGATGCAGAATGCATATGTCTGAGTCGTCATTTAAACGCTCATTTGGATATAGATGGGGGAATTAGACAAACAAAAAAAACATGAAACAACATAGCGCGATGCTGTGTTATATCCAACTGATGTATATCAAGATGCCTAGTATCTAGGTAAAATTTCAGTAATTGATTTTATCAGGTAGAGATAAACAAAGTTGTTAGGAATACCAAGCTTTGCTGGGTTGCCTTGTGATCCACTGCTAGCGCTCTTCTCAACGTCCACATCTAGACATTTGTTGCCAGAATGCAAAAAGATCATTCATTTTCACGGGGGACCTCAAGGGTTTGTATTAGCCAGTTGATGATCACGTTTGACATGTTTATCAGAAATTCAACGAGGAATATACTTTCGCTTTACTTCTCAAAGCGCGGGCTCTGTACCGTTGTTCAGGGCAACACGTAAGAAAAATGTGAACAGCAATACGTAAGGTAACGCTATTCATCAAAGACGCGTTCTAGGTGATGCTGTCAATTTCGCGCTAATTGTGATCTCTTCAACAGTTTAGTTCATACGTATTACTAGTAAGTTATCGTTGTTTCAACCACGTCCTACGCAGTACGTGGGTAAGCCGCACCGCTGATACGAAACGACACGTGGGTTTGAACTCGGCGGAATTTTCGAAACAAGCAACTTATTCGAGTGAGCCAATTTTCGTTAATAGCCTGAGCAAAATCTTGGGTTTACCTGTGGCGGCATTGTTAAAGTTTCGTTGAATACTACCAACAGGGGGTTCGTGAGACAGTACGCTTCTTGTATGCTGGTATTCTTTTCATAGCCATGGAACGAACAGTGATAATTACTATGAAGCATACTGCTAGTTCTGACAGCAAGATCATCATGTTTTAAATTTCTGTATCTAGCAGATCATGAGGTTAAAGGTGGCGAGGAATCATTTGTCATGACCATCAAATATGGCAAAGTACGAAATGGCCGCTGGATTTTTAAGTCACTGATCTTTGTAAGCCAAAATCTTCTATTCGTGTTGCGCGAAGCGACAACTGGTCGTTCGGGAACAAGCCGGGACAGGACAAACTCGAATGATCAGGTGAAGTTCACAGCAGGTAATGGTCTGTTTTTAGTAACGCTTATTATATGTACTCGGTACTTGAACTAGATCAGTTGGAGTCCGTCCTCACTCATCACAGTCGGCTTGCCCATATTTCCGGTGTCTCCAACTTTGTCAATGTCGGTAGTGGTCTGACAGCCTGGTTTGCTGTTGCTTTATTGCGTAACAAGGCGAACTTCGCAGCCAGCATCGGTATCGCCCGTCAATTCGTTCAGAACGCATCGGGTGTACCATTCAGCGCTGACTCTATTTACGCTGAGCTGATGATAGAAAATGTGTCATGCGATCGAGTACAGTTCTAGGTCGATGGCCGGCTATTGACGGATGAAGCAGCAAAACGTTTACGAGACGGTTCCGATAATTCCCCAGCATAACGTTCCGTCGTACTATTATTGCTATCATTACGTCCACGCGCCTTATACTTTCATTACGTGTCGCCCCGTGACTACGTTCTATTCCGTCATTATCGGCATTAGCAGTAGAGTTTTTTGCGTAGGAAGGCTTTCCATTCTAACCGGTACCGCCGTCCACTGGACATAGCTGTTTGGGCGGCAACAGCAGTGGCGGTGGCCAAAACAACATGCTAACGGACCCGAGCGGATAACTAGTGGATATTGCAAGGTATCACTTTGATTATCTATGAAATTTTTTACCCTTCCCCTCGTTACTAGTGATTGTCGCTATAATCCAGCGAAGTTTGCGCGTCTGCGCACGTATTACGTACGGCTGTGCTTGCTGCTACTCTCGTTACCCTCGGCTCTTCTCGTCGCTGTTACAGCTGCCGCTGTTAATGTTACCAGTCATCGATGAAAAAACTGGTGGTGTAATTGTGGGTTGTGCAGCCTATCGGTGCGCAAGTGTGACCCAGTCGGGACACGAACATTGTGTAATGTTTATGTGTCGTTGTCGCATGATGCCTACATGTTCGAATGTGCGTGTAATTCATTTGTAGATAACGTCTGGGCATATATCGCTGTCGCGAAATGACTGTAATGTTTTGACTGCCATTGGTGGCTGGCTGACTTCTTTTCAGCTAGTGACTCTGTTATAACCGAACGTTTACTTGAAAACGTCTTTTACAGTAGTGCGAGGCGCAACAACAACTAGAATCATCAGTCCGTCACGAGTTTACTATGGAACTGGTGCAGTCTTATTTATCTGAATGGATTCATTAACTGTTAAGTCTAATGTAATGTTTGATAGCAGTATTCGTCGGTGGAACAGTGCATCGGCGCAGGGATATACCAGTCAGTTGGCCTGCCTTGCCGTGTTAGGCTTACAAGCAACACTCTGTTATTGGAGTGTTCGAATTTGAGGAATCCGATAATAAATTCCATGCGATGATACGAAGCCAGAAATAATCGTATGGTGCTTCTATGTTCGTAAAACCCGTTGACACTTCGCCAAGAACATTTCTCGGTACATATAAGCGTCGTCGTTACGGCTACTTCTTCTGCTGATAGGTGATTGTCACGGTGATATGTGAGTTCAAACGCAGAGTTGCATCATATCACGTTAAGTTGAACCTTTCATTAGCGGTAAGATCGCTTGACACATTCTAAAGGAGGTACTCATATAGTCCACCTACACCGAACTGTTTTGCCTCGTTTTTGCGCGGCAAGCTCCTCGGTAGGATCCACTAACGAAATATATCCGCCTGTGGATATTGCAGTGTATTCATTATATCAAAAAATGAGCGTCTCTGATTGACACCGAGCATCACTAATTTTCGCCGAATTGGGATCATACATGGAACACTGCGACTGGAGCCGCTCGTCTTTTCGAGATCCGTCCTCAAGGCTACTGGTAATTCATCGTAGAGCTGGCTGTGGCGTGCTTGTTTAAAAAAAAAAAAAAAGAATAAAGCTTTTCGTCATAACAACTTAGAAATTTGTAAGCTTACGAACCGGTAGGTAAACTGATGCGGCGTAAGGCGGCCCAGTTGATGGCTGTTCCCGTTAAGAATACATAAGATGCCAACGCACTTCGCTAATATGTTGCTCAGGGACGGTCTTCAATAAGGATATGAAGGTATCCTTTCATTTTGTATGCTATGCGACCTTCGCTTTCTACTCGGAGCAGGAAACGATGATTTGCGGGCTCTGCTGTTCTAACAGGGATGGTACGTCAGTTTAAATATTGCATTAGAATATACACTGTACGTATGAGTACTGTAGACGGTACTGAATAAGTGCTATAACATGTGACTGATCGCACTGCTGCCAAGAGAACCCTGAGCTGGTTACTATAATTGTCTGAATAAATTTGAATATTTCTATATCGTTGAATAAAATTGTCTCAATCACTCATCATCAGACATTTTGCTTTTTATATATATCGTAACTTTGTTATGACTTGGGACCCGATAATTAAAAAGGTTACACGCTTCTTATTCTACTATATATGCTCTTTTTCTTCTCAGATGGCCATGCATTGGGCCATCGGTGGTGGAAGTAAGGGAAGAGTTCCCAGCTTAGATGATGATGATGTCATGAAAACTCCAACTTCTCATGTTGGCTAGATCTATAGTTCTACGACGAGGTGCATATTGCCGCTAGGTTAGGAGTTAGGACGGTTGGGTGGAGCATTGGGCAAGTCCACTCTCTCCAGGGACATTTCCCTACTCTATGGTCTTGGCCGTCATCGAGATATATACATAAGCACGAGAGAACAGCTTGATCTGTTCCGTTCGACGAATGAAACAGGACAGATCTGTTTAATCCAATATCAAACGAAGGTAACTATTGAGCTCTGCGAAAGGGAGCAGCGCAGGTGGCGACGCTGTGCAGCTTCTCGAAACTTAGTGTAGTCGTGCGAGCTGCAGTGGCGAGGCTCAGTGGCGAAAAATGCGAACTGTTTGAGAGGTATAAGTGATAATACGTCTACGAGTTTTATAGTTAGCTCGCTTAATCATACGAGTAAATGATTTTGTTAAGTTTAATTTTTGTCATCGGCAAAAGTTGTGTGCGTTTTAATTCGGGAATAGCTCCAATCGGGAATCCGATTATACAAGCTGAGAGGTCGCCAGGTTGCCGGGAAACATCGGACCTAACGCATAATACCTTCTTTTAGTTCAATTAGCCTACGTGCAGATCGCACGGACACGTATCCAATCGTAGCTAAAGTTGATAGCAAAAAATCTGTAATAATCGTATGTCTGATATTGATTATAAATGGAATTGTATCAGTTATTGTCTAACAGTTCCGTTGATGCTTTTGTGCTACTTCCAGAGTTAGGTGAATACTCCATTCGCTCGGGTGATGTAGTGTTAGAGGTTGAGGGTCAGAGCGTGGCCGGATATACGAGAGCGGATGTTCAAACTTTACTGGATTACTGCGCTAATCGAGGGCAGCATACGCTAGCGCTTACTTTCATACAAGCCGGTATGTATTACGATTCAAACAGGAATACTTGTTTATAGGGTTGGTCCACAGCGGATCATTTGTCCAACAGTGTATGGGTATAAATGATTCTGTTAGCCGTACTGTCAAAAACAAGCTTGCAATTCATTGCAATGTAGTGGAGATATAAAAACGTATACCGTTTCATGAGTAACTTTTCTAGCGTAATTAGGCCAGCAATATGCAGCTATGTTCATTGTACGTCACCCGTAAATCGCGGTATTGTCCCATATGTATCCGTCCTTTCGGTACCTATCAAGCTACTAAAAGATATGCTTAGAATCAGCTGTAACGATGTAATAGAGAAGCTTTGTTTTCGCTTGCCGCTTTGGAAGATTATACAAGAGGTATAAAAAAAAATGTATTATGAAAAGTTAGCGTATAATTAGGTTGGTGCTGTCTCTAGGCGTTAGGTGATTGTGTGTGTCCAACGTAAACTTGCCTTCTATTGTATTTTAAGTCAATGTCAGAATTCGTTGGTGGTAGAAAATCCGCTAGCACTAACGCCATTTTCACGATAAGGAAGCGCGTATTTACATAGTACAAATATGTCTGTGCTCTCGTGATTACGCGTAGATATATGTGTAGTAGGTCACAGGATTATCTAAAATGGCGGCGCCGTAGCTTGATTACTTCATCTGTGAGCCTTTCTGTATGTCTCTTACTGCAACTTTAATGGGCGGTAATTAAGTGGGGTGATAAATGCCACTTGCTCCTATGAATCAAAGTAAACTTGTCTTGAGAGCATAACATACATCCTAGTCTACCCTACCGCGACGCAATAGGCAGAGTAGGCGTAGTAATAGCGGAATAAGATAATACGAATTAGTTTATGACGTCATTTGATCTCTGGCAGGAAGTTCGACAGAAAGACTGCAGTTCGTTTCGCTCGTGCAACAAAGACTGTCAACGTATCGCTTTGGCTTTACTAGTGAAAGTGCTGCAGTGGATCTTTTTATATGAAGACGACTTCCCATCGTTCAAGAGCTGCACATACAGAACGAGCAAGATCTCCTGCTGTTTTCAATGATAGTCATAAGTCGTTGGTACTCTTTAGACCTCGTGGATGGCTACAGCATCAATAAGCACACAATAAGGCGATGTTCAGCGCAAGCTTATGCTCGTTTAGCAATGAAAGAAGCAGCGGATAGCTGGAACGTGGTTAACGCTTTGATCCGGGGCACCCTTTCTCGTTCCGTTTGAAAAAGAGAAAGTAAGTGGGTGTTTTTCCTTATCGATTCTGACCCAGACTGTCGGTCTCTGAAAGCGCGACAGAGCTCGAGCTATTTAGCCTCCACTTGGATCATCTATGCTGCGACCCTTAATAGGGAGTACCGTACGTGCGCCGAGTCTGATGAGTGATAACCAAATGATGCAAGAGAGGAGAAAGAAACACGAAGGGCTTCGGGAACGTACATAGGCTTGAGGACCGAGAAAGAAAGAGACCACGATACTCTGACAATTATTGAATCCGCTGTGCTAGCAACAGCAGTTCTCTCTATTGGCCGGTTAATGTGAGTGCAGCTGTTGCTGGAACATGGCTTGCCCACGTTCCCGATTGGTCGATTGAGGTTTGTTGATATTTGGCTATCTAAATACAAGCAAGTTACACAAATAGAGGATCCGGAATGGACAAGAAGTCTGAGTACGACTGTGGCCTAGACGATGAGCTTACGAGCAATTTTCGTTGAGAGCGTAGTGTATCAGACGGGTGTTCCTTAACAGTAAGGGTCATCTCACTTGGTTATGGATGGCGTATTCTGATTATTGGACGACCACTCCTTGCGTTCTATGCGTGATTGCGAGATATACATTGAGCAGATTATGAGGATGGTGCTATGAGGAATAATCGCGTGGTATATTACCATTGTTTCTACATGCATACGCCTGTGATGTGCATCTGAAACGGTAACTGGTCGCTGATATGGCAAAACCCAATTGTAATACAAGTTACTTTGGGATTGATAACCAGTCATTCGTTAAGCTCGCAACGGTAAACGACTGCTGTTTTTTTGATGTTCATGGGTTACAGAGCAACAAACCTATAGCATATACACTCTGTATTTGTCTGGTTTATTATTATTATTATTATTATTATTAAGTAATTTCATGGAGTGCAGTATTTAGTATTTTGTGGAAGTGGTAATAGACGTTGCTAAAAGCACATGTAACCTTCTCGGCGTAACCAGGTTACTCTGATGGTTCTAAGCATGGCTTTGCAACAGGATGTCCCGCACAAAGACGATCGCCCATACGTTAGAAGCACTCCGGCAATATATGTATTACTTCTCCGACATTAGCAGTTTAGAGGTGGGCGCTAAAAAACATTTCATGATATAACATTGTATCGTGTATAAAACAGGCAGTTATATACTCATGCTATATTAAGTGTACCGTTGGCAATTAGTCACTGTTTCGGAACACAGGTGGGTGTCATTAGCATGATGGAATTTTACCGTTACGGTCAAGCTTTTCGTTTCTTGCTGTTAACGATGGGCGGATTACCTAGTCCGAGTGGCGTACTACTATTAGGCTGGCTTGCTTTTTGAACGTCTAACGAAATGAACGAACACAAATAACTTAGACATGCCTGACACGATCACGCATAGTGACTGATTGAAACGAACGACAGTTTTTTTTTTTCTGTTTTTATTTATTCACATGGCTGATTGTTATAGCTTTCTTATATGCTTATACTAGATTTATGAGCTGCTGATTCCCCATATCATTTAAATTAAGCCAGGGGTCATTTTTAGTTGACAAAAGAAACTATTCATTCTCATAGTATTTCCAAGGTGGGTCACTATGGCTTAGTGAGCGTCATTTGATTAGAGAAACTCTTTTGTTGATTTCCGTGCCTCTATTGCGGATAGATGATTCTTCACTAACCTGTTATGGATTGGCGTCGTCGTTTTCAGAGGTATTAAATCGTGATATTCGTGCATATCTCAACTGTCGTTTTCCTCAGGGATCGCCGGAGCACGATCTCCAAAATACGATCAGGGACAACCTATACATTCGCACGGTTCCCTGTAAGTAAGAAAACAAAAACAAATCAAATGAAAAAAATCCGTTGTCTAGCGTTTTTCTACGATTTCATCAAAGATGACGAAAAACATTCATTCTAAATATTACATGAGTCGTGAATACGAAGCAGTGTGTGTCTGTTAGTAGTAGGCTCCACGCCGTGTTGAACATACAGCATGCTTACTCCGTTGTGATTGCGTGAAATAATGGAAGATTTTTGACAAGAGTTTGATTGAAGAGTTTCGAAAAATCGTCAAAACGGCACAAAAAGCCATTTGATTTTCCTAAAATATTGATTTTACACAGTTTAGCTGCTGTGTTAAAAAAAAAAAAACTATACATGTATTAGATAGGCTATAGAGGCCCGACGATTTGTTCTTGGACTTTTTGTGTTTTTTGCACTTTTAGGACTTCTCGCCTACGAGTAGCCTACAACTTAGATGCGCTCGATTTTTTTACGTCAAAAGTATTCACTTCAATGCGTATGTACCGCTATCTATTTACGGCTACTCTCTGAAAGTTGTTTGCAAATTGATAGAAGAAGAAGAAAAATTAGTTGAGAGCGACATGGGCCCCAAGTCGCCTTATACGAATCGCAGTTACATTGAATAAGCACATCTGGAAAACAATGTCCATGTTAACAAAGCAAAAAAAATTACATCCAAACATCTATTTTTCTCTGAGTGCTGCTTGTAAAGAAGCGACATCAATATAGCCTCAACTGATCCCAAATATATAACAAGTTAATAAATAGCCGATAGAACGTATCGGAAATCGAATGATTTTAGATTACAAGTAGCGTAGATAAAGCCTTCTCCATTGGTCGAATGGCAGTGAGCACTCAACGATGATCAGACGTTTGTTTACAATGCACTTTAACTTAGCATGGTGCTAAATTGATTTTTAGTTGTCAACCTAGTTGGTTATTTGTGACGAGGCTTGTTGAGACGACTTTAGGCTTGTCGTATAGGTGCCTTTTTGACGGTTCGATAGGTGCCTTATTCAGACGGAGGCAAGGGTACTGTCGGGAGGATGTATGCCGTGTCTACGTTGTCTGTAGTGGTTATACATCGACAAATCCTCGTACACGAAGAAGTAGAGCTTTCTGTAAAAAGAACACCTTTCATCTACACATGCGTGGCATGCTATCCTTAGTCGACCGCCCTGCAATATAACTTATGTAACTGTAAAAAAAATAATGTAATTTTTTCTAATTACTAGGCACCACCCGAACGCCGCGCGTCGGCGAAGTCAACGGAGTTGATTACCATTTTCTCACAAGGGAAGAATTTGCATCGCTTGAGCGTGAGGGAAAACTACTGGAAAGTGGATTTTTCGAGGGTAACTTTTATGGGACTCCACTGCCAAATATTCAGATTCAGGGACAGAGCACTTCGTTGAAAACGCCTCCTCTGCTTGTGCCCGGAGCGCATCCTACCAGCGAAGGTAATATAGAATGTTTCAAATAGCCACATAGTTACCACAAACAGCGACCCTCTTTGCATCCTTCCCAATCTAGGCGGTGATAATTCTACCACTATTATGAACTAGTAATAAGAAACAGAAGAAAAACAATCATTATTAATAACTATTACTATACTTTTTCAGGAAAACGAAAGAGGAACCGCTCGAACGTCGAAGCCTTCCTCAACTCTAACAAACCTCTTTCACCGAGCTCCACAACGGCGACGACGACAATGGCGCCCTCAACCAGTGGCCATTTGGAGCAACTAGCTGCGGGTAGCGATGTCGGAAGCGGCAACAACAATTCGACTCACGGCAAAATAAACAACGGCGATAACAATAATAGCAACAACAACAATAGCAACAACAACAGTCAGCAAGAGATCAGCAACCATTCCTCAAGCCAGCTCTTCAACAACCATTCAGATAACAGCAACACCAGCGGTTACAACGGTTACAGAAATCTCGTAGATAGCGGCAGTTATGATGGTCACGCCGCTAAAGCCAGCAGTCTTCATTGTCAAAGCAACAACAATACAACTAGCAGCAATGACATGGTGTACGTTGGTGAGGCTCTCGGCGAAGGGGGCGGAAGCTGCGGTGGTCAGTACGGTGAAGGAACAACTATTGTCGATGATGACCTCGGCCCGCTGCCTCCTCATTGGGAGAAAGCGTACACAGAACAAGGGGAGCCCTACTTCATCAAGTGAGTAGACGATCATTGCGGATACTATCGTGATCATCAATATTTACCGCTATCATGAATATGATAAATACAGTCAGGACATAAATGATTATTCACGTCTCCTACGATACTGTAATCGAGGTGTATGGCAGCTAAAATCAAACAGATAAGTCGCGACAAAAAAACAGAATATGTGTTTAGAGAGTTCAGGTTTTCAATTCTAGAAAATATTGTTTATCTTGACTATTTCATGATCTCGACGACTCACTAACCTTGAGATATTCTAAGAGGCTAATTTCTTGGTGTCGGCTGCATTTTTTGCCAATGATTTTGGATTTTTATGCCGTTTGAGAAATCGATCCTCCAGAGGAGTACACAGCTCCGTGGCTGCTGCGTCACCTCTGATGGCACTTTTATGTGAGTTGTATAAAGCTGAAACCCGTAGTAGAGTTGATAAATTCTATTCATAGCCTGTCTAATAGTGCGCTATTAACTGAAATGCCATTGACGGCAATAATTTGGCTTAGGTTAAATCAAAACACACTGTCATAATTAAACCTGTGTTTTAAACGTGCGATATTGCCGTGTCCCTGATCAGTCTAAACACAAACAAGTCACAATGGGACGATCCGCGGTTGTGTGGTGACGATGGTCCTGATGGTGGTCTCGGCCAGGACGATCGATCCATTCAAATGGGTCAGTTGGGCGAAGGACCTGGGTCCCCTCTGACGCCTCTCGACCAGATGGAACTTCCTTATGGCTGGGAGAGAATCGACGATCCTCAATATGGCACCTACTACATCGAGTAAGTAGCTTTCATTATAACTCTCTGTAATTTTTATGAGTAGCATGATCGTAACCATGATATATATATATATATATATATATATATATATATATATATATATATATATATATATATATTATGTTTCATGGGTGATTTGTTATTTTATGGAATTCCAGCTGTAGAAACGGGCACAATTTTTACTACACGTTTGACCGATTATAGCTACATTGAGTAATATCTTTCACAACAGAATTTCTTTTAATGTATTTCTATAAAGTATTTCCTATGACTGTGAGCAAGCCGGGCCATAAAAAATTAGAATGAAGTCATATTATGTTTGAATTTGTGTTTTCACTAGATGAATGAAAAACGAAGTTTTTCAAAATGACAGATCAAATAAAGTCAAAAAGATGGAGGCATGCATATAGGATACTCAAGATGCGATGCCCTCTTAATTTTGTTCAATGAAGTATACATTCAGTACTGATAAGAACATTTGAGTATGTGATCCACTATGATTAATGTGGGTACCGGGTGGTAAATATAGTATCAACAATGATTGTCTTTTACGGCTGCTTGTTATTATTGCTTCCTTGCGGCAGATGTATCATTAAATTCAATGGACCAAAGCTGCAACATGCGGTTCCATGCCCTCCTTTAAGTATGTTATCAATGAGGACGTAGCGCGAACAATAGTTCGCAAAGCCTGGCCACAGACTGTGCAAGTCATTTGTAAAACGTACATAGAAACTATATAACTGTTCTCCTCGCCCCCACAGAAACGCGAGGTCTACCCCTAAAAGGATTGTCGCGTTTGTCGACCATAAAATCGGTAATTCTAATCGAACATCGTAGAGCGAAACGAATTTGGACATATATCAATTTGTCTTCCGCACATCTGAAAACTAAATTCGAAATCGGTCTACAGGCCTCCTCGGATTTCGATTGTTACCCATGCTCGTAAATTTGGTATCATCCACTGAACATACTACGTATCTAGCCAACTGCCCGCTGAGTAACACAACGAGTCGTTTGGACGGCCCTCACCGTTGTGTACCCGCAAAAACAGGTCGAACAAACAAGGAGCTCTTTGAACACCGCGAGGAATAACAGTACCCGCATGCTCTAGAAAAGATCGTCTATTCTTTTTAAAAACTTTGGCGAACGCGTCAGAGTTGTTGTGAGCTGAGAGTACACTGTGTGTTCGCAACAGTATGACCAATGTACCTCAACGCCTCAGGCTAGTTTATTACTGTTCAAATACAAAATGTGTTTTTCTGCATAGATGATTTTCAGCGCAAACTTTCATTGCTAGGTCAAGACTCACGACGAAAATTTATTTTGCCATTTGCGAATCTATCCGTACCTGTATATGAACGAGTGCCAATCCTCTGACAAATGAGAACGTACGAGTGTACGCGCAGTGTCGCTTATTGAATTCGAGATAAAAATCGTATTATTAGTGACATTGTTTTTGAAAGCTCATCCCGAGGTATGCGCTTTTTCTTTTTTTTTTTTTATCTACCCATATTCAGACGGTCGAGGCTGTCATCGTGATTATGATAGTTATTAGTATATGTAATTATCTTCATTTGTTTTAATTGTGTTTCAGCCATATTAACAAACGCACACAGTACGAGAGTCCATTGGCGACGCAAGCGACGTTGGATGGATCCCGTAAGTAGAAATACATGACATTGTATAATTAGCGACAGACAACATAGATTACCCAGTTAAAAAATAAAGAATAGCTGAATGCATTGTTTCTACTCGAATTTATTGCTAAGCTGCATATTCTCTATATAGCGTACACTACCTTCTATGCACTAACACGTTTTGCTTGGCGCTACTCATTGCCCGTCAAAGTAAATAACTAGAACAATAATATGTAGCAGGTATTGCACATTTAATTCATGAGTGCAATGTTGTTTTTTTATTACATTGTTTTGCTAAGTTGACCCATATGCATTACGAAGTTATACGATGTATTGAGCCAGCAAACATACAAAACTGCTGCACATTTTTGATCTGTGTTTAATCAGTAACGAAAGAGCAATTCTAATTTTTTCCTATTAGCCCACTTCGCTATGTGGATAGTGCCCTAAATGTCCCTTAAACTCAAGTAGCTTTAGGTCCTAATTCCATGCTTCGCATACGCACATTCATATTGATCATCCACCTGCGGAGGTCACTTAACATTAATAACACCGTGGTATTGGTATTCAGCACATGACTAACACAACACTGACGACTCTGATCAATTTGTTATGCTTCGTCACTTCACTCACAACTATAAAAGACGAATCTTTTCTATTGTTGCACAAAATTTCAGTTAGGGATCGGTATGATTGGTTATGTGAGACGAGGTGTCGATAGGACGTAACGGTAAACCTGTATAGCACTTTCATTAGGATCGCACTTGGCCTAATCCCCCCATTGTACCGCTCCTATTAAATTGTCGTGCTTTTAACCTTTGCGTGCGGTTGCGGACTGTGTGACGTGTGTGTGTCTTATCTGTGCCGTTTGTAGAAATCCTCTCAGGAAACGCGGTACTTAACACCTCTGGCAGCACTTTGTCCATCGCTATGTCATCGTCAGTGCGCGAAGATGATATGGTTCCAGCCTCCGAGAAATCTGGCCTCCCTATGTCCATTCCTTTGGGTGCCCCCCCAGGGCATTTCTCTCATCCAAGCGTACAGATTGGACCTGGTCACGAAGTTCAAAATAACATAAAACATGCAAGTAATGCTCCACTTGTAGCTAGCTTTCGAGTAGACAAGTTATCTCATCAGTTTAGCCAAAGCGAAGTGCACGGAGGCTTGCCGTACACTTCAATGCACCTGCCAGGTTTAAAGGTTATAGGGCCAGACAGCAGCCCTCGCGTACGAAATGACTCTTCAAAGGCGCATGTGCCCATGTTAGCTTCTCTGCAACAAGAGTATCAGCAACATATTGATCAACAGCGACAATTAGGAGGGGAGAAGATTGGCGCAGAGGCAAGCGGCCACTCCAGATCTAGGAGCGATCTAGTCGGCGGAACCCAATACTCCAGTGCCAATAAAACCGCCAGTCAAGTTGAACGCGGATGGCAGAGACCGATCCATGGAACACTTCCGAGGAACACGTCAGTGGACCCATTGTATGCTACGATTGGGCCAAAAAAAAACGGAGGCGTCACGCATCTTCAGCAACCACTTCATCGAAAGCCGCTGCCGCCACCGCAGCAGGAAGATACCTCCGCTGTGTATATGACCATGCATCCTCCCACAGGTTTCGCGGGCGGACAGACCCGAAATGGGCTCATGGACAGTGGATTAATGACAACGCATAATTATGCTAACGTGTACGAGCCACAATATCGAATGAGTGAAGGCCACCGGCACCGCGAGAATGGGATGGTTTCATGCGGCGACGATCTCGAGAAAATTAATGAAAGTCAAGCTACCGAGAATGATTCTGTCTTCACAAGTGGAGGCAATAACGACCTCGATCTATCGCTCCGAAGTGACCCTGATGTGAAAAACGACGATTTGAACAATAACACAAACAATGGTAATCATAACAAAGATGATAGTCGAGGGCAAGCTGCGGCAGCCAGCGGGCAGCTAGCGTCGACGACGGACAAAAAAGACTCTGTCCCTATCGACAGCAGTAGTAGTGCCCAGATGAACAGTAGCCGTGACGGAATTTTGGCCCTAATGCCTTGTCTTGCATCGTGCATGCACGATAAAACGTACGGCACTGTAGGTGAGCTCAACAAAAAGGAACCGACAAGTAGCAATACGAGTGCCAAGCACAGCAACAACAACAACCAGCACGTATCGAGTGGATCACTGGAAAATAAACTTAAAGAGCATCATAGCCTGGACGACGGACAGCAACGCGAACAACGTGAAAATGAGCAAAATGAACTTAGGCAGATCAATTGCGATTCTGGCGAAACAACGAAGAAAGACAGTAACAACACGATGGTTACTTCACCGTTAAGCAACGGCCGTATCGCGAACAACAACAACAACAACAACAATAATAACGATGTAACAGGAGGCAATGTCAATGGACGAAGCACTAGTGACACTGCGAGGGCAGCAACAATATCAAAAGAAGACATGCTCCGAGAGGACCAGCAAAACGACCTGCTTAAACCGGGCTCCCCTCCAAAAAATGGCCACGGTAACCAACCTCTCCTCTGAGTTATCAACCTTAACCTTGCCTTGTTTGTTGCTATTATTACCACCGCTGTCCTTTCTGCTACATTTGAAATATGGATAATTTAACACTTACCCTTTACACCTTTTCTATGTCTGCCCGTCTGGTCAGATGTAGCAACAGGCTTCTTCTTTCTCACATTTGAATGCGCAAGGTCTGTTGAGAGTGAAAGTAATTGAATGGAGTTCAACTCACGTTACGCACAATACTACTTACGATTAATAAAATGCTTGTCTGTGTGTTTGACATTCGTGTTCGTATAGACAATAGAACGCGTCTTTTTGAACTATTCATTAGACATGATCTGTTGCCAAGGTCATTAATAATGTCGGTTTAACACCGTTTCAGTTTCTCTAAGCGGTGGAAGCCCCCCGCGGAAGATACCTCCACCGACGCTGCCTAAGCCAATGCTGTCACAAATTCCGTTCCATCTTCAACAGCATCAGGCGTTGCTTCCGCCGCAGTATCAATTGCCGTACGTGTTTACACGTAATCCCGCCGAACTTGTAGGCGAAATCATACACGTTGGTTTGGTGAAAAGCCCGCGAGGGTTCGGCTTTACCATCATTGGCGGTAACGACCACCAGGCTGAGGAGTTCCTGCAGATCAAGAGCATCACTCAAGGCGGGCCGGCGTGGAATGACGGGACACTGCGCACTGGTGATGTGCTCGTTCACGTAAACGGTATCTGTGTTCTGGGCTATACCCATGGTGATGTTGTGTCCCTGTTCCAGTCGATCGCCCCCGGAGAGGTGGTGCATCTTCAGATCTGCAGAGGATATAAGCTGCCATTCGATCCAAATGATCCCAACATGGAGATAGTCACTACGCAGGCCGTAACTGCAAATGGTTCATACGATACTAACGTTGATAGTAAGCATACGTTTAGTGGTTTAAAGAACAGGCACAATTTCGGTTCGTTAGATGATATTTGTTCTATTGATTGAGCTGTTTGTGTTATATATTTGCAGACGTATCGACCGAGTAATAATGCAAGCAGAATCCGTCATTTCAGATAACGAAAATCTGGTTAACCGCTCTGTCGTAGGAGCATCCCGGGAGTATAACGACATTTATGGGACGGTTATGCGCAAGATGCAGAGTATCGACCTCAGCAAAGGTTCATTAGGTGGCTCTGCTGTCGTGGGAGCCAACATTAGAAACGTGGAGAATGCCAGTGCTACACTCAGCAGTTCTAATGTCGAGCAGCATAACAGTTTACACGAGGAAAGTGAACTTGATTTCGAGCCGCCAAAGTTTCTCACCGTCGAAATAGTAAAAGGAAATACCGGTTTTGGATTTACTATTGCCGATTCGGCTAATGGTCAAAAGGTCAAGAAAATCCTTGACGAAACTCGCTGTGAAGACCTTGTCGAAGGCGATATTTTGGTGGATATCAATGGTCGCAACGTACGCCGGTCGTTGCATGCCGAAGTTGTGCAAGTCCTTAAGGAATGCCTCATCGGTTCGACAGCCCGGATTACGGTACAGCGTGGCGGTTTCGCCACCTCACGCAGCCAAGCAACCGGAGCCCGTACTCCAGTCAATGCGGCTGACGATGCCGGATCGGAACGCGGAAGTCATGCGTCTACGTCCTTTTCACAGTTCAACTTCAATCCGAACCCGACAGCCTTTCAATACAGATCGAAAACCCCTACTGCCGATCTCTATGGCTCAGCAAGGGAAGTCGTTATTCAGCGCCCAAAGACCCCAGTGGTAGACACACGAAACTGGGAATGCCCGGAAAAACCGCCAAGGACAGGTCCTCAGCCTGGCCAACAGATACAGCGGCTACAGCATCATCCAGGCAAGTGACTAAACGAAAAGGGGATCCTAAAGATGTAGGAAATTGGCGGGGCCTATGCATTCATTTTTACCTCTCTCAATTTACGCATTCAAACCGGATCAACCTAAACAGGAAATTAATTGCCTTAGTACTAAGTACCTATGAATAAAAAAATAAGCTATATTTTATGGTTATTATTAATCATCCGCTTTTTATCTTTTAGGTGGGCAAACGGTCCCTGATGCGAACATTAATAACAGTATATATGGGACGACGCTCGGACTCGGCAGCCGACCTACAACTGCTGCGTACGGTAACGTGGGCAGTACTCAACCTCGATTTGAAGAAGATGTTTATGGATACGTGCGCTCAAAGTCGGAGGTATGGCACTACGATTACCCAACACCCGCTGGGACACGCCAGTCGCACACGTTGGCGCGGAATGCCCATTCCGCAGTGGCCCCCTCGCAGGGAGAGTACGCTAATTATTATGCCCTATACGGCAATGAGCGTGGAGTTACGCCCCAGCCATCGTATGATCCGACGGGGCAACATTCGATTTACGGTACAGCAGAAAGTGTGCGCTATGCCGAGAGTTTACGAGCGCCGTCGGTCCAAGGAGGAACTATAGGGGCCAGTGGTGCCTACGGTGAAGGCGGTAATGGCGAATTCCAAGTGAGTCTAAATCGACAAGAGAGTGGATTCGGCTTTCGTATCGTCGGCGGAACAGAAGAAGGTTCTCAGGTTACTATTGGTCATATTGTACCAGGTGGCGCGGCAGACGTGGACGGTTCGATTCAGACTGGTGACGAGATCCTTTCAGTTGATGGACATTCGGTAGCTAATGCCTCGCACCATCACGTCGTCCAACTAATAGGGGCCGCCTCAATATCCGGTCAGGTCACACTTGGCCTGAGGAGAAGGATATCAAACTTACACAGTGAGTTTCCTTTGCAGGTTATCTCTGTGAGCTGTCTACAACAAGTCCCGTAATGCATAATAACGGAGTTTTCGGTTGGCTCCTTGATCAGATGTAATATTAGGTCTTTAGTATGATTGCAACGATTGAACAATATGAAGCAAATGTGGCTGAGGAATAAGAAATACGATTTATTTACGGCACGATGACCTTATTAATACCATATTATTTTTTGTTTTTGCTACTATTGCAGACACTTCAGGACAAAGTGAATTGACACCAGCAACTTACACGTACAATGTCATCGTAGAACGGACCGAAAACGAGGGGTTCGGATTTGTGATTATCTCGTCGGTAGGCAGAAGTGGCTCCACTATTGGCCGCATCATTGAGGGTAGTCCTGCGGAACGCTGCGGACGCCTGCAGGTCGGAGATCGCATTCATGCTGTTAATGGAGTATCCATTCTCGACATGCATCACGAGGACATTGTCAACCTAATTAAGGTATCGGGACTCACAGTGGCACTCACGATTGCTCCACGTACATCATCGACCGGAGCGTTATCACCCGGCAATAATATTCAAGACGACCTGTCCAGCATCGGAACCAATCGACCACTCGGGCCTGATGACTTTAATGGTAAGTAAATTTTTGGTAAGATCTATTTATATTATCATAGAAGTGCAACGCCTGTTCGTCTACGGGCTGTATAATTTATCCCTGCCTTAATTTATCAGTCTCGTCTACTATTCTAATTTCTTGTTATAAATATTGGCTTAATATGTTTTTGGGGTATTCATAGATCAACCCATGGGTGCGCATGTGCTATCGGCCAGTTCCTTAGTAGAAAGCCAAATGCTGCCACCTGCTTCTCCGGCAGGAGGTCCACCAGAGTTTCGGCGAGTCGTTCTACAACGAGGTGCGCGAGGTTTCGGCTTCTCGATTCGCGGTGGACGAGAGTTTCACAATATGCCGCTGTTTGTTTTACGCATAGCGGAAATGGGCCCTGCACAGAAAAGCGGCCAGCTGCATGTGGGCGACCAACTTTTGGAAGTTAATGGTATTTGCACGGATGGTATGACGCATGCTGAAGCTATTGGGCTCATTCGTCAGGGAGGCAGCACGGTAACGTTGCTCATCAAAAGGATTAGCAACAACCCCCCTTCAGGTGCTGCTGCAGGCCCTTCACCTTATAACCCTCATCATCATCTTTCTCAGCAACAGCAGGCACACCACCCGCAGCATCCCTTAACCGGTTCGTTCTATGACTCTTGTGCGAATTCCTTTATACATCTAGAGATAAAACCTGCTATACGCTTGTAAGTGCCAATTATTGAGTAATAGTAATAAAGTTATAATGACGATCCGTGATTTCATTAATAAGCAACCTTACATTTACACTTGGCTTTCAAATTTCAGTCGAGAGTCCTCCATCACTTATATCCCATCATTCGCTAGGAGGTCCAATCAGCCAGAGCTCTCCGCGCTCGCCATCTGCCATGCTGCTGCATTCGCCACATCATCACCCAGGTTCTGCGGGTGCCACGGGTGTACCCACATCAGTTCATCAGGGCAGTCCTCATCCTGGTCATCAACTTCAGCAGCAGCAGCAGCAGCAGCAGTCCTCTATTTACGGAACTCATGGCCAATGGGTTGGCTAATGTGAAGAAGATCTGAGACATTCCAACCCTTGAAACGACAACCCGTCACCTCTTGTAATTGTTGTTGTTATCAATTGATCTATTTTATGTCGGCAACAGGATTAGAACACTTTCCGTGACATGCGAATGTATTTCTACATATAGTCATACTGCTTCAAGTAGTTCAAAGGTGCTGCCTATTTCCAATAAAGTTGGACTAGCAATTTGTTCACTTTACAATAAAAGTGAACAATAAACAATACATTTTTCGTCAGCTAGTTAATAAACAGACATCCGCTGGTCATAATAGAAACTCGCACAATCGTTCGAAATGATCGAGAGCACTAGGGAACCCATTTGAGCATGATTTTAGGAAACTCCCCGACTAAATGAACAACAATTAGATTTATGATTATTTGTATTATAAAAAAAAAAAAAAAACATAAAGCTAGTTTTTACGTTACTATGATATTTATTTTTTATTGAAATCATGATGACATAATTTGTGTAGAAAATCCAGTAGGAAAAGCGAGAAAGTGGAATCTATTTTTTGAAATGAATATACTAATATTTCACATGCGCATGTAAAGTGATGTAAAGGGACACTCAAACAGTGTACTTAATATTTTTGTTACGTCCTATGGCCTATGTAATTTACCTACTGTTCCTTGGCTTAGAATACGGATACCTTTTAGGGAAAATTGCTTTCTAAATAACAAGAAATATATTTATGAGCAATTTGTGCAAGAAAAAAAATATCGATCTTTCCACCTACTTTAGCTTTCCTGTTTATTTGTTTCCAAATTTCTTCGACAACGTGGCTATCAAATGTACGCAAATGTATCAAATTGATAAACGTTAACAAAACTCAAAAGACAAAGCGTATCTGTGAAAAGATACAGAATACTAATGCCATGCTGAAGTGCACATTTTTTGTCTATAAGAACAACCCTATGCAGATAAAAATATTTTTCTTAATGAAGAAGAGGCGATTTCCGAAGTGGTTTCAAAAGTTATGGGCTAAAAGTAAAAAAAAATAAGGCATCAGCCGATCGACCTGGTCAAATATCGTCTTGGCTTCCACGACACGAGAGGAATAAAACGTATAAAAAATGATTCAATATAAATCGACTTGAGGGGAAACCAACTTGTGCCAAGTTGGCTTCTGGCTAAAAAATATAGTTTCACCATTCAATCGTTATAATTAATAGAAAACACATACAAACATATGAAGCCGAGTTTTTGCTTGGACGTGGTGCTTCTAAAACCTGAAATATAGAACAGGCGAAGGCGAAAAGCTGAACGACCATTGGACGGTTGTGTTGAGATCGAGGAAAGGAACTATATTTTAATACTTTAAAGCTTAGTATTAAGTTTAGTTTGTACTGACGTTTTCCATGAATTCTGCAAGTACATATTTTTCTGCATTTACATTCTGTCGTGTGAACATTTTGAAACTAGGGGAAAACTCTGTCGCGGCTGCGTGGGTTGTATGAGTGATTAACCTGTACGTGCCATTTTGTAAGATATTTCATGTTTATATAGCTATAGTATATTAATACAGTCGTACAGCATTATAACGTACTAATGATATATATTTTCAGTGAATAAATGATAAATAATTGGTTATTTGTGTTGTAATCACACAGAATAGATGAACGAAGATGCGCTTCTTTAGTATATTCGATAAGTTTATAAAGCGGTCCTGGGCCTTCCTGAATATGATATATCAATAAAAACTGTAGTAAATAAAGCCTGAATAACTCACCCAGATAAATGTTACGCTGATTTTATTACGTGGACTGGGTCTTAAACTAAGCCTGTCGTTCTGGAAGACAAACAATCGATTCCTATTAAGCGAGTTTTCGGCTTTTCTTTGAGGTAGACACGTTGCGATCAGTCTTTTGTTAAGTATTGAACTACATACGAAACTCATTTATGAGCTCGTTTTGATGGAGCGTAAAAGACGAGCTTGATGTTGTGCAGGAGGAAGAAGCACAGCGGAAGCGGTAATGACGCCTTACGAAAAACGAATGATATCCACGATCTAGGCCTAGGGGTAATCGGAGTGTATTTCATTCGATTATGGTAAAATCATATTCGATAACTTAACTTCTATTGAACACTATTATCTGGCTCAATTGAATTTTTGTGCGAAAAAAAATGCTCTGCCGATTTTAATACCTTACCTATATTTTTATCATAAAACTCATGACCGCGAAATCGTTATCCCATATCTAATGCCATAAATAAAAATACCATTACTGCATATTACTAACAGCCTCGAAGCTGACGAAAAAGGAAGTATCTCTTGGCCAATATTCTCAGGTCGCACCCACATCCAAATCGTAAATATGTTAGATATTGGTATTGTATTGGTCGAGGAGACAGTTACCTCGGATCAGATGAACTCAAATTCGACAGAAATGTCACCTCTAATAATCTTTCGTTACTTACTGTATCTTGTCGTAAATCTCCTCGTTTATATCCCAATTATATAAAATAATCGATAGATGAGAGAAACACTTGAAAAAAACCGACCGCGGAGCAGGATATTTGGCTTTATTGATAATATTCATGTACTTCTAGAAAATACCGACAAATCGGGCTCAAGTGATCATATTGTCAACATGTGTAGATGAATGATCTAATCAAAATCAAAAGGGGAAATGCTGTGATATTAGGCTTGAAAGCAAGTTCCTCATAATACAAAAAAAGAAAACAGGCGACTCTTTCCCAAAGAATCTCGTTCTATACAGACAAGCGATTTTTTTATTCTAACTAAAGATCCTCAGTTTCCTTTTGGGTGTTAAATTTACAGCGCCAGCTGTACACGCTTGTATCTTCATAATCAAGTGGGTATACTTCAATGTCGCCCACTCTGCCGGCATCGGGTCGGGCTGATACAAAGTAGCTTTGCATTCCTTTCGGGCGTGGCCTTTTGTCCTTCCCCCAAATAGCGTAACGCAATGTCCAAAAGAGTTCGACGATCAGTAGGGCCTAAAACATATGAAATCTAATGAAAAACGAGTCTGACTAAAAGCCTTTTTAGCCGTATCAAGAATAAAAATTCGCATGGCATGGGTCTCTATGCGAGCTGAATTAGAAGGAAGAGCTCTGAGGCGATCTTTCGAAAATTCATAGCACAGAAACGCTTTTTAGTTTTAACAGCAGGTGCCATATGCTAGTTCTGGTGAGCTTAACAATGGATACCAGCTACAGAAAAAAAGCTGTTCCTTCTGATCTTATAATAAATGAAAATCCGCTTACCCGTTGTCCATAAGGTATAGAAGTTGCTTCCCAGAGAAATTCGCCCATCATCATAATAATGCCCAAAAGCGCACCAACTGCCAGTACAAGAAACACTCCGGCCAACTCGCGCATACCCATCTCTTCAGATGGAGGAGTCATTTCTGGGCACGGTGAAGTCGCTTTCCACCACCGTTCCTTCAACCACATGAAATAATCAGTTTCACCCAGTCGAACGATTTCCTTTGAAAGTAACTTACGCATAGGTGATCCGACCGGCGTAGCAATACCGTAGCCCTAAGTTGTCAGAATGCAGTGCAGCTTAGATGCGCATATAGAGAATTGGCAATACAAGATACATAAGAAGCCAATACGCCTAGCAAATGTAAATCCTTTGTAGTTGTGTAGTAGTAGCTCACTGGAATGTACTGCTTTAGAAATGCCTGACACCTTGTAACCCTAACTGGGAATAGATCACTGAATATTTTTTCCACCTTCCCAATGCAACGAAGATTATGGGCTAATGTTGGCAATGAAAGGAAATAAAGTAAAATCTCTACGACGCTCATAGGATAAAGCTTTCTTCTCTTCCTTCTTTCGTTTTATATATTCGACAACGGAGAGGATCAGTATAAACAATGCACTGATGAGTAGTAATCAGTACATAATAAATTAGCCCATATTCTGTGAAAAAGCGAAAAAATCAATAATACCGTAAAAGATAAAGAGGTCAGGGTAAATGGTTAATCGCTTATAGATACGTGCAGTGAACGATTATATTTTAATAATAGTACATGGTAAGGCAAACTTGCATAATCCAAATACGTTCGTATCACATGGCCGTAAATATCTTATTATTCTAACTTATTTCGAACTGCTCTAAGTATAATGTAAGTAAATAATAGTAAAGGAAGCATTTTTGTGTAAGTAAACGTGCTTTTCGACTTAATGATTTTATAGAAGCGACAAATCTTTTTGAATTTGATAATCCGACTACATATTTCTTCGATGAAACTTCAATTTTTATTTACCTTACTATCAAGCAGCCCTCCCACCATAGTGAGCCTGCAATCTCGTTCTTTTCGATATTCGATAGTGGTGGCTTCCATAAAGTAGGCGTAGTTTCCGGCTAAAACCCTTCGTACCCCTTCGTCATTGGTCTTTGCATGAACGGAAGGTCTCTGGCGATCCATGTGGTCTGCCAGTTGCTGATAGATCCTATTTGTTGATTGCTACAGGAAACTCAAGGACATGTCAAAATTATACGTGCATACGATATATAATATCCTACGTTTATTTGGGCCTGTAAAAATACAGTTGTATTATCCGTAGTGTGTATGCAAGCTCTAAAATTCTAGGGTTTCCGTTCTAGAGCTTTAGAATTTCAAATTTCGAATTTTGAAATAATACGCTTATACAACAGAATTGAATCTTTATAGATATAGAATAAATAAATATTATACATATTACTAGCAGCAAATTGTTTCTATACGTTCTTACATAAAGGATAAGGATATTTTGTGACTTAATCCGAGTAATTCTCCTATTAAGCACGCGATAAAGGAAGTTTTTGTCATCTCAAAAAAATAGAACAGCCGTTTTTAAGCTATGACTATTGTCCTGCAAAGGTAACAGCACAACCTCAAAGAATTTCCTGCTGGAACCAGACGCAAGGCACCCATACTCAATTGTAGATTGTCGTGCAAGATCGTCGGCGGAATCAATTGAAGAAACGAGCCTCTCGGCGGTTAGTGTCGCCGCCAAACTGGCGGTGTATGAGGAGACGACAATCAGCGTAAAGAACCACCAAATCGAAGCTATTGTACGACAGGAAAGCGACCTGCAAAAAAATCAACATCAATGTCTAGCGCTTTATATACTTAATGCGCGTTAAAGGTGACCTACGTTCATATGTATTGTATCATATGTATGTTCTATACTATCATATGTGTGATATGAACTTTCTTCATATTATGTATATTATATATTACACTTGTTCGTATGGGCTTGATTTATTTTTTAAATTTAAATTTTTAAATTTAGGTCGAATTAATTCTAGCTGTACTACATTCGACCGTAACCAATTTACGACTGTACTGCTACAAACTAGTTTTAGAACTAGTCATCATAGACTTCTAGATATAACTGATTCTAGTTTTACGATATGCTACTGCAAGCGCAGCTTTCTCCTCAAATCCAACTCAGAAGATTTATTTGCTCAGCAATGGATTATTTTGCGAGCTAGTCGACAGGAACCGGCTGAAAACCTCCAATACAATTTGTGAGGTTGAATGCAACAGTTTCTTTCACATGAAGCCAAAAATTCTAGTCACACCCTAATTCGGATACGTACACGGGGTTAAGATCACATCCTTGTTGCATAATTGATCCTATTGTGAACCAGAACCTGCTCATAATCTTCATCTCTTGATCAAGCAGTTGTGGGTCGCGTTGAGACAGGTCGTCTTCTCCCAGATCACGATTCTCCGTCGGACTGATAGACGCTATCAGATAGTAAAGGACTGTGACACCTGTGGGTGAAGACCCGGTAATACGAATGGTATATGAAACCTCTGTATCGTAAGGGTGATGTATATATATACTCGGTACAGTTCGTGAATTTAAAGGCAAATGTCGAACAGCAGATATGTTTGGCGATATATTACGATATATAAATTAGTTGTTACTTGAAGGTCGGACCTTTTACGGTTTGGACAGTTTATAGTATCGATAGCAGTGGTACAATCGTAGTAAAGTTTTATTAAATTGAATCTAGAGATGCGTACCCGTGAAGGCAGTAAGCATGCAGATCCAAACGTCAATCGAAAATGGCTTCATAAATAGAAACAAGGTAAGTCCTCCTTGTGCGGGCTTCCGAAATAATATTGAAATTCCAGTTTTCAGAAACGGCTGCGTGAAGTCGACGGCTTGCATTCTTTCGGCAGTGATTGACAGGTCGACTATTGCCATGTCAGCTTCCTAAAGAACCACCATTTTATCTCGGGATGACCATCACTGTAGATTTGCTTTTCTTTCGAAGCATCTCTATTAGGGTACAGCGTTTACAAAATGCCTAGCTTACCAAGGCATGTGACAAAGTAAACCGGACTTGCTGTGTCTATGAATATGGAACTTCTTATAGAGCAGTTCGCTATTAGTTACGTTAACCTAAAAATAGAGCCTAATAAACTATATATCAAACAAAGGCAATAGATCGTACCATATTAATAAGTTCCTTGATCATGCCATCGAAGGTTCCGTCGGGTTGTCTTGATCCATAACTATTATCCTTAACGAGATGCACACTGTAGCGGAATCCGATATTTGCGGCCAGAGTTTCCATGAGTTCCATACAAAAACCCTCAAAGCGGTCGTTTCCAGTGCGATTTCTATAGTCAGACTTCAGCATTGTATATGGAGGGTTCTGAGAGATTAAATCCGGCGCCATTTCGTGCAAATAAAAAAGGTGGCACTTTATGAGAAGTAAATTATAAATTCCGCGAAAAACACAGCGAAGTGCTTCTACGAATGCTATATTGATAAGTGCGACAGTCTATCTAATTTTCTTGGCCGTAGAATTGAAAGGCAAATTTTAATTCCCTACAAATGCATGACATTGACTCTAAGTAAGTGTAATGACCTTCTGCCGATGCACAGTTTATACCTAGCTACGCTGATTTAAAAACGTTTTCAGCACATGTACTTCCGCGCGTCTTCGCGAAGCAGCGAGAAGCCACGTATCATTGAGAGGATATGCGTTCAGTTTGTCACGCTCGGTGTTAGATTTTCTTTGAAGAAATACTCCAAGCATTGTATTGAGTACCACTGTTTTAAGCATTTCTTCAGACGACTAGCTTTTTCCAGTGCGAAAACATTGTGTCTAGGGCTAGTTTCAAACCTGGACAATCTTACATAGCCGTAAGTAAGCATCTAAACGCGTTACTGCTGCACCATCAAAGGAACGTCAAATGCATACTGAACACATGTCCTCTTACCACGATCGTGGTCACGTTGAACACCTTAGATGCCATGAGATTTTCCAGTTCTTTGCGAAATGTCGCTGGATAAGAGGCCTGCGTTCGAATTCCGCTATCTTGGTTCCACGTCGCTATCTTCAATGAGCATTTCGAAATGACACAGCAAAAAAAAACGGAGATTCACAAGTGAAAATACGACGTGAATCTACAAGATATGAATGCAAAATGATATTATATTTAGTTTATTTAAGAACATTTCGGCCGGGGAATGCATTTGTTGGTTACATTAGTCGCTGAGAAACATATTGTCAATGGCACGTGAACGAAGCACAACGGGATTTCTCCGGAACGCACCTTAGCAACACCATTCCACATGATTCGCATAACATTGACCTGAAACCGCGAGCGAAGACCATGACGATTCAGGGTGATTATGCCAGTGACACCACGGAATGAACTCTGTAAGTAGGTTGTATAAAAAAAAAGTTTGAGAATTCATACAAATTGAGCGGTTATAATTTTTTTTCTATTTAACCACATTCATTGGCTAAATAGTAGGTCGCTTGCGGAATCTCAAGGAGTGTGTGTAGCGATACAATATATTTAGGCGTCTGATACAGTATATCGTTCTGCATTAGCTTCTCCGTCATTCCGCCATCATATTGTCTTTCGATGATGGCCGAAAGGCGCTATCTATTTAAGCATGCAATGGGAACAAGGTAGCAATTGATGTTAACCATTTAGCATTATGATAGAATGAGCTATAAATATTTATAACAGGAAAATATAACGTGTACGTACGTATGGTTCAATGGACAAACTTTTGGTACGAAAAAGTTTAACTTTTGATTGAAATGGCCAAATTTACCAACTTCCAAACACTATCTCTTTTGTCGTTTCTGGTCTAGTTTCTCGTTTAGTACGGTAGTAGTAGATAGTAGGTAAAGGAAATGAAGGAAAAGACCCTGCCAATAGAAACAGAAATTGCCAGAAGCTTACTCGAAGCATCTTCTTAATGACGAGGTCGCCGGTTTGCCAGGGCCGTGGAGACTGGCATTTGAAGGGCGGTGGCGACCTAAGCTTCGATGATGCTGATAGTTCATACAGCGTCCGAACCACAAACGATACGGAGTCTATTAACAACGCCTGTTCAGTCTGCAGAGTAGTCGTTTATGGATAGAGTCCACCATAGTTGATCGCGAAAGATAAACAAATTCCACGAATGACAGTTTGACATGTAAGTTTCCGTCTTGCTCCGTGCGTTTATATTGTTTTACAATACCTTACATTATATTTGTCTCAGTAACCTCAATCTTCAAAAGGTGCATAGGATGAGAAAGCTTACATAAACATCCCTAATTATACGAATTCACAAATCAAAGTGGAAGTGGCAGTGTTACTTTAGTATGAAAGATGAAGGGTTACCGTCAAATTGAGATTGTCCCTGATTCCATCCATGAGTTGAAATCTTCGAAAATCCCTTATCATTTTGAGATTCTCTTTTGATTTGAGATCGAGTAATTGGAGGAACGTAATATTGGCCCTTGATGGAAAAAATGGACTGAGATCTAGAGTATGCAGGTCCTGTGAACACAGTCATTATTATTTGCATTATGAATTATTATAGTGGGTTAAATTAAAACGTTTCATTTAGTTGCCTTAAGTTCGTTTCTTAGACATGTGTCTTATGTGTATATAAGGACTTCGGCTACGGATGGTATAGATAAGGTAACATGGTACTAATAGGGCTTTTCATGAACACTTCGGTGGAGAACTTCCTCTCGTCGTCGATTGCTGTATGCAATCAAAATACGCATCAAGGTCTATCCGTCAAAGAGCTAGCAGGCATTTCTATAATAAAGTCGTCATTCGACACAAGAAGCCATCATATTTGTCATTAACTCGTCGCCCTTAGCCAACTTAACCAAACAGATTAATAGAGTCCCCTGCGTCACGACACATATGTAATGAAATTAGAAGTTATAGAAAGAGACCCAAATGTCGATCCCAGTTCAAAGTTTCTCAGAAATCAAATTGATGCCCGGTTTAGCTCGTACTGAATCATGTCTACCGAAATATTCTTCATTAAAATTGTTTTTAAAGGCTTATCGGCAATAACAACAGAAAGCTAAGAAACATACTAAGGAGGTGATGACGAAATTATGGTACTCGGTCATAAGACCGACGTCTTTAGCCGATCTCAGCAGTTCGGGAATCAGTTGAGTATCAACATCAAGCACAATGTGCGTGTCTTTGGAGCGTAGCACCTCCTTAAAGAGAGTTCCCGGTGAGACACTTTTGTCCAAGGGACGTAGCGTCGTCAGCGAAGGCGCCGCCCGAAGAATCGGTGCGAGACGAAGGAACGCTGTAATGTCCGTTGAAAGATAGTTAGTCTTGACTTGAGTGATCTTTCGTAAATTTTCTTTCAAGGTGTCGTCATGTTACGTTACTCAAGAACTCCACAAAAGTTTTACGTGCGTTAAGTTCTAGTAACGATATTGAGAGCGCTACAATGTGCTTAAACGTATAGCCATTATTACATGTTCATTGATGAGCCATTTTATGGTACCTAATATCGACTCATCGCGACACATCGCGTTTATTAAAAAAGTCAACGATTTATGAACACACTGTTAGGCAGGCTTGTCGTATGGCTACGGAACATACCATCCTCTCGGTCGTACACAATGGTTAGAGATCTCCACTCCGTCATATTCAATACGTCGAAGTACGCCCTGCCTAATATGTCAGAAGGCGGATGGAGATTTAGCATTTGCGGAAGCTTCCTAGGTGATGCGGCGCTTGTACGTGAGAGCAAAGGCCCTATGGAGAGAAATGGCACATGAAACGCTCTGCAGGTTGATGCCAAAATATGGGATACCGGAACGACAGTGGGGCCCACGACGATCGAAGGAGCACGGGACAGCAACTGACAAACTAAAGAAATAATGCTGTTAGTTTAAACACTGAGCGCTTATATAAACGCCTAATTTCATGCTATATGGTCTTGTATACCTGTATCACCTGACAAATGATTCAGTAGCAAAAAGTAACCGGAAGCCTCCTTTTCCAGCGTCATACAAGCCTAGTCCAGTAAGGCGTGCCGCAGAATTGATTGAACACACAGCTAAAGGTTAAGTCAACTTTGGTGTCGCTGGATACTTCAATCATTTTTCTTTATTTATCTATTGAAGGCAAAATGTCTAACGAAACTACTTCTAGAAACTTTTAAACATACGAAGAATAACTAATGTTGAGGATGACCTTGTTTAATGGCTCCATTAAAGAGGCATATTCAACACCCCCTTTGGGAAATGACGTTTGTAGTCGTAGTCTTTGCCACCAATTGCTACAGCGTGAGGCTGACAGAATTACTGATCAGGTTGGAGGAGGCAAGCAGGCGAAGATTTACAAATGCACGCATTTTGTAACGCCGTCTACAACAGTAGAAGGGACTAGATAATTTTCGACCTAGGTGTGTGACGAGCCAACATCATCACCATAACATGAGGAGCAAGACTACGCTGTAGAGCACTAACAGCTAAACAACAACAGCGTAAGTTGTCAGACGCCGAAAACGAAACATTGTCACGTGGACGTGTTCACCAGTACGTCACTGCGGATTAATTTGCAGTTTACCGTTGACACGCTGCGCGAGAGTCTTACCATCTCATAAGCTCACGCTCTTGAGATCTTAAGTACACAGACTCAACCGGAGACTTTTTTCTCACTAAACGCAGTGTTTTTTCATTCATACAGTGGCAATATCGAGCTAGCAATAGTTTACGGGAATAGCAAACGTATATCTGAGAACATTTAAATTCTTGTTTTGGAACGTGCTAACATATTCTGCGTTCAATCCCCTACTGACATGCTTGCTTGTGTGAGAGAACACGCCAACTTGCGAAACGCGTACTATACTATATACCATTGAGACGTTCACGGTTTTATCACAGTTTTTAGAACATCCAAGTAAATGCTTTTGTTAGTAAATACGACTGTCTAAAAAAGTGTGGCAATGTTAAATCGTCTTTACTGAAAGCAACACTCAGTGGGTGAGGCCTAGCTGGCGGTTTTTCTTCACATACGTTTTTATTGCGCCTTATGAACCACAAGCAAGCTACCGGTTAATCCTGCGATTAATTTTTGCATGTGACTTATATCTGAAGTGTTCGTGAACAATTCAAATAACGGTAAGCCTAAGAATTTTTAATTTAACGGTTCGAACGCACAAAACAGGAACCAGGAACGTCATAAATGTACATATAATTACTCCTAGGGGGTGGATTCTCTATTTTCCCATTCCGGGTTGTAGGAATCTGTTTTTATTCTTTTCCCATCCGCATGCTTAAACATAATGCAGTAGACTGTATATTTTACATAACTAGGAATGTTTATTAGCTTGATGTGCGTTCGTCTAGCCCAAGTACATTAAGACGAAGCTGTTGGCCTCGCCATAACGAGATTGTTCTGCCAGGATTCTTTTTATCGAAATATAATAGGGCTGCTACCCTACGTATTCATTGTTTAAGATATATTTACATTAAGTATTCGCATATAATTTATTGCCGATATTCCACACCTTATTCTAATGTGAGGTTATATATAATATAACTATACTACTGGTTGTTTACCTACAACTTTCTTAAGAATTCCATTTATATTTATTGGCAGAATATTTACCAGCTTTCGATGCGTCAAAGCTGCTATGAATGTCTGGGATGACTTTTTTCATGCCGATGAAAGCATCTCGAACAATGGGAAGTCGCGAGCTCTCCGGCGCACGACGTATGGCGAAATCGAATACGCGTACCAAGGGGCTATTACTGGCAAAGATCCCACCTAGACAGCATATAACAAACGATAATGACTATTTATCAACGGTAGTTTCAGTACATTTGGGTGATTTGAAAAAATTTGCCACTGAACATATATGTAGGATGCAGGAAACAATGCTTTGGATAACTGACTGATTGATATGAGAACTTTTTTGGTAAGTTATGTGTTGTTCTGTTCACCGTAGCCCGTTCGACCTAGACGAATGTTGAGTAACTGCAAAAATTTGGATGGTTTTTTAATAAAAATCAAATAAGTTTTTTTAAAAGCTTTTAAAGTAGTTCTATTAAACCAATATTCGCCATTTTAATTTTTGACCTTCTCCCATTTATTTGATACCACCCTAATCCTATCATTGTAAAACTTCCATGAGTTTTGGGACAAGTGATTTTGCGCCCCTTTAATAAAAACTAATTAAAATTAAATACCATGAAGAGAGTTCTTCGTAGACTGAGACAGATCGCCCGATTGTGCAACATACGAGCTATATAGCGAATGTATTAAAATTTCTCTCTTAAATTCTGTCAAGTTTTGCCGGATAGGTAAAGATATATGTGGTGTAATATTATCATGGCAAAATACGACGCTCTTTCCGATCATTAAATCTTGTTGTAATATTGTTAGTTATTAACAATACACGTCCGAAACAATAGTTTTTCCTAGTCCTGTCAAACGCATAGAACTGGCATCTTCAGCGTCAGTCCGGGTTTTGCCACATATTGTGAGGCAGATTTTCTAATTCTTTTAACCTGTTTGATTCAAATGGTTGAAAATTGTTTGATGGTTGGTATTTAGTTCATTGGCCATTTCATGGCTACTTTTTTCGAACTTAAATTTTCTTTTAATTTAAATTTTTTTCGAACTTGGTTTACCACTACGAAGAGCATTTTTCACATCAAAATTCCCGGAACAAAAACGACAGAACCATTTGTAGCCGATTTTTTTTCTGAGAACGTATCTTGGCCATAAACAGCAGTAATTTTTCATGTGTTTGGGCAGCATTTGTGCCCTTATCCTAGTAAAATATGTTACATATCGACTGTTTGCAGAAATTTTACGTTTCTTCAAAGTAGTCTATTTTAAGTCTGACTAAAGCCATAGCAACGATTTCTATTGTCGAATGGCCCCCTTCAAATGACATTAACGTCACCGCGATACATGATTACTTGAGATACGTAGCTTCAAAGGCATCGACCCGAAAAAATCGTTGTTTTCGACAGCCCAGTATATAATACACTGGATCTTATGTGACCAAAAGGTTTTGAAACGTGTCTCATACACAGGGTTTGTGTTGTATTAATAATTGCCATTTCTCATTCAAAATGATCATAAATGTGCTTTATTTCTGTCGCTAACTAACGTTCATGCATGATAAAACGTGCGTGAACTGTGTACCTAAACACTGCGTATTCATAAAATAGCTTCCGCTGCTGAGAGTTTGAAGCGATAATGCGGGCCTTCGGAGAGCAGTGGCGAGTCGGAGAGTAGATATGCGAGGCGATTTCAGGTCACTAGGTGTAGTCCAGTGCTTTTTTGAGGAAGAAGATTCTAACGCCAGGTAATTGTCTAAAACTGTCAGTTTTAAGATCTTTAATTATGCGTATCCTATACGTAACGATCGGTACTATGTTCGAGCAAGCCGAAAGCAGTCGCGAGGGAAAACGATGGACCGATTTGATCGTCCATGCGGACAACACTGGCTTCCTTTATCTTTCGGTGATGTGCGCAGTAAGCTTCTGTCATTCGCGAAGCAGACGAACCCCAAGTACGAAAACCGGTTTACATAGGCAAAAGCCGATCTGGCAAGGTACAAAAGATCATTGGTCGCTGTTCTGCCTCTCCTCTTCAACTTCATCGCCTCAGTCTTGTTCAAGTTTACGGTCAGTCACAAATCTGCATTTAGAACTTGTATGACCTTGTACGTTCTTAAATCGTTTGCATAGAAGACAACTTCAACCGATTTTCTCGGCCCTCTTATTTGATCAGGGAGGCCCTTCAGCAAAATTAAGAAATAAGAACGGACTTAAGTTGTCCTCATAAGTCAGACCAGCTGCCTGTGTGGAGGACGGGGGGTTCGGCCACTTCATTGTTATTTTGCTTTCCTGTAGAATCGCAGCGAAAAGGTTAAGGATATCTATAAAGACATCTACCTCGGCCATCGTGACCATAACCATGTCTTTGGGTGCCGAGTCGAAGCTACCTTGAAGTCGACGAGCACTGCGTGTCGACGACAGCCCGACGTGAGGGGTTAGTGTTCTCTTAACATCGACCACCAGGATCCTACACACCGCTTCTATGAAGCGTTTTCTCCGAAATGGTTGTTGCTTTGTTGGGATAGCTTGTACGCTTTATAAGTAGATGATACATTTCTCACTCAGCAAGCCAAAAAGCAGCTTATAATTAATTCTTCTTCGCTATTCCCTGGCGTGATCGGGTAACCTTTTTATTCAAGAATCACTAACAGGGTAAGTTCTTTTTGCTGGGCTAAAAGTGTACCAGTATTTAAACTTATGTTAGGTAGTACCGTCCAGCACGGTGCCAGAACGACAACCTATTTGAGATGCTCGTTGCAGATTCCTTCCAGACCGGTGGCTCCGTTGTTGCTTATGTTCCTAATATCTTGTATTAGATCCCGCACTGTGTGTTTTTTAAAGAATATCGTGTTATATAGAAATACGCTCTTTTCACGCTATGGCGAAAAGAGCACTGCGCATGCTATCGTATTCTTTGACGCAAATATTTCCTAGAAATGATTTTTTAAGTATTTCTATGTATATCGTATTTATTAAATTCATGAAGAAGTGAATAAATAAAATTTAATCATAATCGTGCTTCTAGATATATCTTAATATGATCCTCCGATACTTACATGTAATAAGTATATATATCTTAATAATAAGAAAAATATCACGGAACAATAGTAAAAAGAGCAATACAATTTCTATACAAGGTGTTGTCGAATATCCTTGGAAGTGCTTTGAATCAAACTGCGTGGTTTACGTTAAGCAACCGGAGACGAGTTGTGTCGACGAAGTTCAATAGCAAACCATGCATATCTTCACAACGAAAAATTGACAACCATGTCACACATGACATACGGCTTGGCCCAATAACAGTACCTCCCGTAGTTATGTAGTTTGATGTTCTTTCGCGTGTCCGCGGCCATCCATCGATTCTAAGAGCAGACAGAATACGCCATGACTCAATACCAGTCAACAGGCCGATAAAAACCTCCGTGATGGCTTCCAATATTGTAGGGCTTAGTCACGCTGAGTTGCCAGTGTGACTGCTTTGCTTGGAAAGAAAAACGAAAGCCTTTGCTATAACCGTGGCTGCAGCCCATCGTGGCCTAAGTGCAGAGGCGGTTCTCGCAAGGCCAGTCAATAAAGGACAGTGGTGAAACGTGACGAACTGACCTCACTTCGACGATATTGAGATAAGCAAACACTGCTAGGTGGCTCAGCGTCTCTTGACGATGCATCTGAAATGGGTTGTTGATGGAATTGAGCAACGAAGCGAAGGCATTCAACTGCCGGCCTGTAACTAGTGTGCCGCAGTCGACCGACCCATTCTGCTGTCTACAGCTCTTTGGCATTGCGGCAAGCCACAAGTGGATTGGCGGTATTATTGGTAAGAATTGTAGAAATAACGGTAAGAAAATGACTCTGTCTCCAGCGTGAGCGATTAAATTATGTCTCTCAACTAACTAAATAAAACTGTAGCCAACAATTTAATAAGCATTCATGCATACATGTGTTTCAAATCTATGCAGATAGATATTATGTGATAACTCTAGAGGGCATTGTCATATATGGAAGTAAGTGAGGCGGTTCTAGATTAACGTGTACGACTACGTTACACTTAGCCAAAAGATAGATAAAATGTAGCAGAGAGTCGGAATCTAACATTTGTCGTTTCAGTGTTTTTTTTTTTGTTTTGGCCCGGATTTTAACAAGGGGAGTATGGAGTTACGATGCGTAATACGACATTAATTATTAACACAATAATAATTATTGTCTTACTCTGTTCTACAGCAGTGGCCATCCTTAACCATAAGAATTCACGATTAATCTAAGACTGATCTATTATATATCAGCGTCGCTTGACAAAAAACAATCAATTTTTCGGTAAAAAAAACTCTAAACTTAATTATTTATAACGAATAATTATAATAATAACATATTCTGCCAAAATACAAACTAGACATCGCTCTGTTACTCTCATGTAGGCATCTAGCATGTTCAAATTTCATTATGGGATATATTGGAGAGAAACAAACAGTTTTGTCTATCCATCATTTTGAGTAAAGCAGCAGTTGTTAAAGGTTTTACATTTTTTCTTTTTGATGAACTCAAATCAGTCAATAAAAGACTATAACATACACATACACCCTTACATAAAGTTTCTGTGGAGACGCCTGCCTATAAATGTGCAATAGAATATGAACCCACAAGTTAGTTCAGACACGCATGAACGCATATTACCAATTTCGTGATGCGATATATGCCAAGGCTTAAAACAAATGTGTGTTCTGTTTATTTAAATATTTAAATTTAAGATTTAAATATTATAAATTTAATGAACATTTAATAAAAGTCAGATGACTACTTTTAAAGAGCTAAGGTTGGCTATTTGGGATCATATTCCTTGTATCAGTTCCTTTTTTGAGAATTATTTAGTAGATGTATTACATTGAGAGTACTTGCATCATGCACCTGTAGTAGATATTATGTTAAAGTCAAGTACAAAACACCTACAATAGCTATTAGTACATGTTATCCGTGAAGTACCGAAGTAAACTGCCGAACAAAAACTAAGACTAACTTGAAACATCGCTGAGAAACCACTCAGCAGTCCAAATCTAATGCATGAATCAACAGTTTTCGATTAATGATCTGTGTACTAAACTAGCTGCTCAATGGCTTTTATCAAGCGAAGGGCAAACCGAAAAAACAGGGTCTTGAGGTGTTGCATTTGCCACTTTTCGATGACGCACAGTAACAGTCATCTTATGTTCTCAGTAGACCAGAACTGCGTATATAAAAACGTATGCCATTCCGTTGACCCCAAGCGTCGTCTGAGCCAAAGCAGACAAAGCCCTCTAGGCAAAATAATATAGTGATGTGATCGTTCTTTTTCTGTCTATATAAAACAGTTTACTTTTAGAAGGGGCATTCACTCAGGAGATACAGATGGGCACTAGCCTCGAAAACTAAGCTATATTATTATCCAGGTACTGTATGAGCAGCACTGCCTTTCGTGCTCACAGCTGACTTCTGGCCTGTTATTTACTACCCACTGGCGAATGGAGGTAAGCTCACATGAACTGACAAGAGTTTCGGATATATGGCCTTCGTGAGTCGGTCATAGCTTATTTGACCACAAAGTTCAACCAAGTAGGAGACACTCGTGGCACCCGGAAGGCACTGGAAAGTCATACAGAGCCACTTTGCGACCCAACGAAACACGAAGAGACTTGCTCACGGAATAGGGTGCTTTTTCAGTATGGGAAGATTAAGGTACGTTGACATATTGGTTAATCTATAGAATCATAAGATTGCAGTTCAGCTACTTATATTTGTGAACAACCATGTCCCACATCAGATCTAGAAGCAGGCCAAATTCCTGCAATGACCATTGGAATTTTCTCTATGCATTTTACGTTTAACTTCGGATGAATCCTATTATTTTAGTTGTCAAAAGACTAAAAGCATCGTATAACGTTTCATCTTCCTCGTTGTGTACAATTCCAGCATTGAATAAGAGCAGACAAGGCGCAAAATAAAAGATGTGCCATAAGAAATTCAGCCATCTTTCACGTTAACATGATAATCACAAGGCCTTTGTGCTTGTTTGAAAACTATGTATAGTCAAAAAGAAAACGATCGCCAATTTTTTGCATAGCGAAAAGTAACATTATCAATCAACTAGTTGCAAGTTATAAGCAGTATTGAACGCTATTCAACGCTATACTTCGTGTAACGTACTCCAACCAGCAGTCAATGGCTTTGTACAGCCATCGTCCGATCGCATAATACCGTCATCTCGTCAAACAACTACATCTCTCTCCTTCCATTATTAATACAATGCTGAAGTTACTCTGAAATACCTAGCCATTTTTCAGTTCTAGGTAAAAGGTCGTAGCAGCCCTCTTTGGAAGACCAAGCGCATATCATCAGAAAATGCTAACGTTCAGTAGACTAGCCTAATCATTAAACTTGAACAATTATAGCCGCAGTTGAAAGATAGACAATCTTTTAATTGATCAGCGGAACAGCCTCAGCAAAGAAATTGTAGTGATGTTACTCTTACATTGGACATTCCTACGCGAATGTCGGACACGTTATTTGTACGTTAACTTCGTCGGCCATGATTTTTACTTGCGCAGGTTTTTAAAATGTGCCTTCAAGCCTATTAGACTAGCTTTTGATTTTATTCCTATAATTAAACTATTTTGCATCATTGCGTCTATAATTAGACATAATCATCAAAGGATAGGTTGCTTTTGAAGCTTGCCTTTTTGTTCACCCCACAAAAACATCAGCCGAAAGACTTTGGTCTCATGATTTAGTAAAATTATTCATTTACTAAGCTTGCACGACGTCTAATTGATATTAACCAGTCTTCTGAAAGCATAGTCAATTGAACTTTCAGGTGTACCGACAACGAGTTTACCCCACACTTGATACATAAGGTAGTTGTTATTTTCAATTTAAAAGACGTCTTGCGCGCAAAGCCTATGAGCTTTTGCTTGCTGTTTATGTAAATTCATGCGCAGCGATTTAGTAAGTTATTTAGGTAAATATTAGACCCTTTAAAAAATTTTCAATGTATTTTTTCAAAATCAACAATACACTACTATTTTTGACCAATGTATATACTTGCACTATCATAGACTGCGTTCAAAAGCAGGTCATTCACTGGACTATTCTAAAATATTAGGCAAAAATCTTCGATTAATTAACCAAAGGTAACAGTATGCATTGCTTTAGAGTTTATCACATTCATTTTGAAAACATTCTGCAAATTTAAAATCTAATTAGAGCGAAGTCACTTTTGGTCTCTCATTTTTGGTAACGCGATTTTTGCAAAATTCGACTTTATTAAGAATATTTTCTGATCCATTCGCTTTAAACATGTTTTGTTCTCTTGTTTTATTGCTATAAATATTGTAGGAGCCGGCTCAAGCATATTTGCTTCGTGAAACGGACAAAAGCAGAACGATCATGTAGAAACTATTAGTAGTAAGAGTACATAAAAAAAAAAACTAGGAAAACTTAGATTTCCAATAGAGAAAAAAAGGCGGTAGAACATTGCACCGTCTTCAGGACGATGCTTGCTCGGGACTAACGTGAACTTTTCCAAAGTTTCCAAACAACCGAACATATATTTATGGTCTGTAAAGAATCAAGAACAGATACACCTACGTGACGCTATCATCAACTACAAAAAAATAGTTTGCCTTTTTTCTAAACGCGCTTCAGAGTGCTTAAAAGTCGAGGCTATTTGTATTTGGAATCATAAGTTCTATCTCATATGGGTAAAATATAAAGCTAAGGCTTAAACTATGAGGGAAATAAAGTAGAAAAAAAAATAGCACACAAATTAGATAGGCTCAAAGAATACCATTCTAGTTCATTCCTCCACTCTAAAGTATATTCAACTCTTAAAGTAAATAGTATATCTTAGAATTTCTTAAGTACGGACTAGATTCACGCTTACGTCAACAAATCGTGTTTACTCGTAGACCAATAGGGTTCGGTAAATGTTTTTATTATTAGAGGCAAATATATAATTGGCCACGAAATAGTCAGACATCGTCATTTAACGTCATCGGCAATCATTTAACGAAATATTTTACAATAGAGGGTAAATAATGGCAGCGAACTTTCGAAGCAGCAAATAGAAGATTGCTTCAAGTAAGCACGTTTCTATACCCTGACTTTTTCTGTGAAAGCATACTAAAGGTTCACTTGATTGCGATGCCGTCCTGGTAAGATGCAATATTCAGATTGGGTCGAAACCATCCGTGGCAATCTCTAACATATGATATGTGGCGCTGCAGGCCAACGACACTCACAATGTCTTGACAATCATATCGTAGCTGAGAGAAAGCATTCGTTAGGGCACATTCTGCAAATCTTTTTTTTCTCACATAGACGCAGGGCGGCGTAGAGAAGGACGAATTAAAGCTGCCGGGACCCACGCGATTATTCTATTCGTTAGATATATCAGTGTGTCAATGCCTAAAAACACGCACGGCATTAACTAATTTGGAAACTGGTACTACCAATCAGAAATCGATAACCTCTTCGTAGCAATAGCCACCAATGGCTATCATTTATATGCTTCGTCAAGCATAAAAACATTATTTTCGTATTAAGGTTGTATAATATGCGAACAAACCATCAACAAATCCCATATACAATACTTGGCATTGTTTCATGACGGCAAGTGTCTGGTTTACCTGAAATACGTCTTACGAAATAACTTAAGAGATTAGCAAAAAACATATACATTGTTTATTTCAAGATATGCGCAATACTTTTGTCTCATTTAGTATCTTTCTTTAATATCTCGATAACGATTCTACCCTAGACTAAGAGAGACATTGAAGATGAGATTAATATTTAAGGGTATTTTCGGTGCCTGCTAATATCCTTAAGGGAACGCCTCCTTATGCCTCAAAAGATATTCTGCGTTTAACAAAAGGAAATAAAATGCCAACTAAAAATGTCTACTGTATTTTTACAGTCGAGGCCCGGAAGTGGTGTTACTATGTAACCCAGTTTAGCCATAAAAAGCTTGTTTTAACAAGCAAAATTACCTGCCCATGGTTCACAACTCTGGAAACCTTTTTTATTTTTTAACAATATGTAGTTCACGCCTGTGCCATTCTTAATATCCTTCTTATTCTATTTTATATTGGACAAAAAATTGGTCAAATCTTTCATGAGGAGGTACTTTTGGTCATTTGCAAGATCACTATCTAGAATGTAGAGAAGAGGGTACAAAAAGGAATAGGTACGTTTTTTAACTAGAACGCATGGGTACAACCGGCAACACTTACATGCGGACAAGACAATACATAAGTGGTTCAATTAAAAAAAAAGTGTTGTTATATGTTTTTTACACAACCGTTTTTTAAATTCAGAAATAGCTAACACAGAATAATTTTCTAATTAAACCATTGCGATTGTACCATAAATCTGTCCTAAATGTATTGTAAAGAGTAACACACCACAAAAAGCTTTTTATCAATATATTACATTACACCTTACCAATATTAACAGAGAAAGGTTGTCCAGCCTCAACGCACCCGGCAAATAAAGTCACTACGAGGAACAGAATTATTGACCTTATGCTGAGCATACTGATATCATCCGTTATCAACATCGATTACCGCCAAATATGTGCCAGCTGTACACATTGGCCTCCAAAATGATAGTTAACTGTAGAACAAGGAGACGTCCTATAAACACCTATAAACACTGGATCCTTTCTGCCATTTTTCACTGTTACGAAGAGATCAATCACTGGTAACGATTATAGAGGTTCCATATTGCGCGGGGCAAACCAGCATCATAAAAATACAACAACAACACTGGACTTAATACGAAACTTTAATACGACTTTAATACGAAAGTTTTTATTCGTATTGATCGGACACAGTTTATCTTATGTAAGCTATTAACTAGTGGAACAACCTTTTCTTGCAATGAAGCACTGACGAAATTCGTTATGTGATGACGACTGTGGATTGCAGGACTGCTTTGATACGCTTGTATCAATAGACTTATTAAGCTACTTTTTTAGAACCAGCATGATGTTTCCGCTGAAACTTATCTCCGAAAATCTTCCGTTTTAAGACAATTGTCTGCAAAAAGGTCTAAAAACACTTCAATATAGCCCAGTTGAACTTGAGAGCTAGTGGAAAATTTCTAAATTAATGTTATTCACGGGCATCAGTTCCGGACGAATATAAGGTAAAGTATTGACACCCTGTAAGCCGGAGATTTTTCGTTGGCTCGGTGCGCACAAGGACAAAGTTCTTGATGTTGACAGTTGATTATTACCCGCGCTTTCTCCGTTTGCGATGCGCGTTTGGTCCGCTTATCGCAGTCGTGGATATGGTTCACTGGCTGAGTTAGGGCTATAACGCTGTAGTATTAGACAGCGACGGCTTTTGACGAGCAGAACCACCAGACTGTCTGTGAACCATATAGCGGGCTTGGCAAAGCTGGCCAGTTATTATGAACATCATATCTATCTACAAGTCTGAGGGGATTGAATGCAGCAGATCTGACGGAAAGCAGAGAGGGACGCAGAGGCAGAGGTTGCGGGTGGTCAAGTAGAAGAAGCCGATGCTGCTACTGATGATTACACTAAAAAGATGGCAAGAGTGTTCTTACGAAAGAATACACTGAAAAACTGTATTAATCGGGTTGGTCAAATCAATCAAAAGATATTTCATATGGCTGGTCAAATAGGAAATACGCTAGGTATATCTTGGGGCCACTGGTTTAAATTAAAAACTTATATGTACTTACACTTTTGAAAAATTTGCTTTGGTATGACTGCATTATTTAATATAAGGTTAATTGCATGTGGGTTTGTGGCACAAGGTATGTACCGATTGAAACATTCCAGGTTTGAACCTGACGGACTCGTATTATGTGTTTCTCGTATTATTCAGGGAGCTAAAAACACCTGAATATTAACTACTCTGCTTTATTTACTAAACCATGTACATATATGCATATTGGCATGCAAAAACCAGCACTCCATGGACTTGCCATTCCGATACTCTCTTTTAACTTGGCTCTATTGAATCCAATATTAAGCACTTAACCGTAATAGTGTAAGATACTACAGGAAATTTAGTACCCTGATCCTCCATAACTTGCTGAACTTATAATCTAAATATAATGAATACAAATTGAAATCAATCTAAAATTCGAATTATATATAAACGCAATTTCAACTTTAACTCTCTGTAATACTACTCTGGCTGTAATACCAAGTTCAAAAAGTAAAGAAGCAAGATCTTTTATTTATGGCCTTGTGATAATATTATCGATGTGTTGGCTGCATTGCTACATGCCTTAGATTGAAACTTTTGAACGACATTAATATATAAATGCATTTAAAGTACATCTAACGTAATGTATGTGTAATTTTTCAGTAATGTCCCGTACTTTTTTTTCATTTGCGTACATGATCCAAATGAACAGCATGTGTAATTTCGGGTCCGTTTTTTCAACCTGTCTTTACATCTAGCGAGCATTCAGATATATTTAAAATTATAGACTCTTTACATTTGTGTAATGCGCTAATATATAGAAGCATTTCAAATAATTTGTACATGGAATATTATCGGTGCAAATGTAGAAGCCCTACGATTTCGAAATCTAATTGGAAAAATATATGCCACCTTTATAAGTGTTCATAATATTTTAAATTTTTTGTCGCCAAAGCACGAAATCGTAAAATTTTCTAGCAAACTATGTCGAATTACGATGTTCTAAATAGATCCACTATATAATATAAAGAACACAATAAATTAATAGGTCGACATAACAATGTACATAATTTATTATTATTTTTCCGTAACTTGCTTCTTTTTTTTTACTTGCGTTCAAGTTATTCTTCAGCCATTCCCCAGATAGACTGAACTGCTATTGTGCAGGGTCAGGAGATGATGATTTTCCTTCTCGGTCAGGTTCACTTTTTTTTCTTCCACTTCCAGGTTTATAAATTTCCAGTGACGGACGAAACTAGAATAAAAAAAATTATGATACTATCGTGAGCATGTACCTCATATAATTTTCCTTTTGATTGCAACAAAACTACTAGATAAATTTCCTTGACGTTTTCGGTTATTTTCACCGTTTGAACAAATCCTCGAAATTACCAAATACAAAGTTTCAGGATCAGATTTATTCCCACTAACTGGTCTAGTCGGAGTGACTCTTGCTAAACTTATCTGGGGTTTTCTAATAGACCTATAAAAGGGCATGGTAACCACATGTTTATGCTGAAATTTTAATTATAAAATTGGTCGCATGTTTTCGTTTATCGTAGCAAGACACTCGAAGAGATGCACATTAGTCACTCAACCATGTCGTATCTAGAAACAGCATTCAATAACTACTTTATATATTATAAATGCCGACTAATGAAAGTGACTAACATTTTTACAACTAAATCTCTTACCTTATTCCGTATCTTCTTAACACCAACCGCAGCATCGTCTTTTTGCGATGGCCGCGGAATCGGCCTCAGCTCATGTTGTTCACGACTATGGCACGACGCACGTGTTTCCCCGGGACTCTCGTCGAAATCACCCGGTCTTCTTGTGGAATTCTCTTCTCCCGTTACATCATCTCCATCTCCACTCAACAACTTCGATTTTCCTAAAGGCACTGGCCGAGTATCCGAGTAACGTTTCGAGACTTTTCTACGAATGGGGGATATAAATATTTTACAAAAAGGACAATAAAATGTTATTAGTTATGTACGGCGTAGATAATGCTACGTTCCTGGAACATATTTAACTAACAAACATGCAAACTAATAAATCCATTGCATTGAGCCGCCATAAACGTAGAAAACAGATATTTTACCTCAAGTACTGTCTCAGTTTAAAAAATTCATAGTGTTCTATTTTACTTACGGCTGATCCTTTTTAGTAGCCGCAGTCGATGCTCTGTCTTCCCTTCGATCACCCCCGCTTCGTCCGCCGCTTATTTTCGGTGGCCTAGCCTTTGCACCACCTCCAGCTCCTCCGTCACGATATTCCCCATCTTTATCGTTGTTATCTTTCTTCCGATTATTTTCTCGTCGTTCTCTCTGATTACCCTTTTTATGATTGTCGCCTTTCTCGTTTCGTCTATCAGAACGTTCATTTCGATCAGCTCGTTCTCGTCGATCCGAACGTTCTTCACGATCTCGCTGGTCGCCTCCACGTGTCGCTCCACTGATCGCTCGATCCTCCTTGTCAACGGCTGATGTTCCCGCCGAATCACGATGATTGTCTCTATCTATCCGATCTCGATCTTCTCCCCGTGTCCTTCTATCTTCTTTGTGGTCGCCTGGCCTATCGTCTTTATCGACATGTTTTCGACTTTCGATTCCCTCGACTTTGTCATCACTTGGCCATCGTTCTTCATCCCTTTGTGACAGATCCCTTCGATCGTCTTTATCATTCCCTCGATTTCTCCTGTTTTCGCCGCGATTGTTGGTGTCATTTCCGTTACCTCCTTTCCCCCGATCTCTAGTCCTATCCCTGTCTCGACCCTTTTTCTCTCGTCTTGGAGGCTTTGGCTCGTCTGCATAGTGATCTCCTTCGCCGTCGTGAGCCCTACGAAAAAAATGGATAGACAAGTTGGAGTAGGATTATTCTTTAAAACACCTAAGGAAATGGTAAACAATTCGATAGCGAGTGCTTTCGGTCCGCAAAATTATTATATGGAAGTTATTAATTATAAAAGAGTTAAAAATATTATATATCGCAAAGGTGTATCTAAGAGCAAACGTAAAATAAGGGACGGACCCATATACCTTGCAAACCAAATAGCAATTCAACAAAGAAAAAAAATACATGTCTCATATTAATCAGTTCAGCTTTTGTTACTTAGTGCATCCCATTTTTTCTCGATAGAGTGAAAAGAAAAATACTTAATTTAGTAAGGTGAAACTGTTTTTTTTCCGGCTTAATTTATTCGTCTTTTCAGACTGCTACCTGATATATCGAAAGTCTCAGCTGTATTTACCTAGCATTTCTTCTTTGATTACATGATTTCGGTTCGCGAGGATCATTGTAGTATTTGGCGTGTCGGTCGACGCCTTCACCATGATCTCTGTAAAGCTCAGATTTGTCACGGGGCCCACTTTGGCGCCCACCAACTGGCGAAGGACCGCTAACTTCATCATCATCATTGACTCCCCTAAAAACGATTAGTTTAAGTATTTTTTTAAAACAAGTTGCTAAAACGGTTAAAACAAAAAATGTAGACAAAGATAATGAGAGGGTCAACCCAACACATGTTAAATATAACTAAAGTGTAGTAAAAGCAGGCTGCCCAAGTTACACGTTTCTTATATTTGTCTAAATCCAGTTATTTCTTATTTGATTTCAAATATACGTGCATTTTCCATACACCGTGACCCAGTTGTTCTATTACGATCTACCGAAGCGACGCACGACTTACCTGTTCTTGTTAGTGTCGGACTGGTGGTAACCCGCATTGTTCTGGTTAGTCTTGGTGTTTTGACCTTTCTTATTTTCTTTATTGCCACGACGATTTCTTTCTCTCCTTCCAGTTTTCTCTCTGATTCCTTCTCCAGACCTTTCCGCTCCCCGGTCACCACCCCCTCCACCTGTCGCTTTATCTCTATGAATACCCCTGTCACGATCAGCTCCTCTTCCGTTTGAGTGGGGATCTTCAATACGCTGCCGGATATCCATTCTGTGGAAATCATCTTCAACTGACATCGCATCCTCATCCGATTCCTCACGTATTGTGCTCTCTCGCGCCATCTGTTCCGATAAAAAACAGAGATAATTGTAATATTATAAGTGGACTCATAAAGGCGACAATGCTTCAACCACTCATTTTTTGCTTAGTCTATTGTTATAATTATTTATCCTTGTTAATTTGTGGTTAATATGGCCTAGCATTTCGCATGCGGGTTGGAACGACTAAATAAACACAATCTGTATCAAGCGTCATTCAAGTTAAATATTTACCAAAAGCAAAGGGCTCAAAGTAAAGAAATGAAACAGATCTCTTTTTTGATACACTACTAACAGCACGAAAATGACAAATTTTTATATCTCAGTATTTAGAATTTCTTTCCATCATACCCTAACTGCATGTTCCCTTTTCTGGCGTCGTTTATCACCACGCTTCCGTTCGGCATCTTTTCTCTTCTTTTCTTCACGGCGCTCTTCGCGCATTCGGACCTTCTCCATCTTTTTGGCTAGTACGAATTCTATAAGTGGTGTGACCACGTTGGGAACTCCATTGTTGGCGCGTAACTCACGATCGCGTCGCTCGAGTTCTTCGACCGTCGCCTCTAGCGACGGTAGATCAACTTCTTCCTCTACATCCATCGTCTCTATAAACTTTTGAAATTCCGCATCTGCCGAAAAATACGATGCAAAATAATTTCCATAATTACGATGCAAAAATCGAATGCATTAGGATGTATTTCATTGCATAAGGGAAGTAAGCATGTTTTTTTAAAATGACCGAAAAACATTTACCCTGAAACTAATATACCAAGCCGCACATTCAATAGTGGGGAAAAAACTTGATTGAAGGTTAACCTTGAAAATTGTAGAAGCTATAAATATCGATAGCGTACGTACCCTGTTCAATCGTTCCATTTTTGATATCGGCCTTCTTGGGTTTTTTGCGAGGCATCTTTTGAAACGGAGCAAATTCTACAATCGCAGGGTAGTCTTGTCCGCGTTCATCAAGGAAAACATAGCCGTCCCATTTGTCTCGAAAATTCACAACCTCCTGATGATCACGAAAGGCAATGTACGCGCGGCTAAAACTGTGGCCACTCATGCTACTATGCATGCTAGGTAGACAAAAAAAAGTCAGTATTTTAGCATGTTCGTATCATGTATATATAGATAAATAGATTTAGTTAGTTCGTTTCATTTAAAATTGTTTAAAGTTTGACCGTACTTTATAAAACAGGGGTCACATCGACGACGATGTATGACAATCGAATGTTAAAGAACACAAGAATAAAATACCTATTATCTGCGGGCACGAAGTAAAATGAATCGTGCTCTGGAAGAGGGGATACTTGCTCCACAAAATCATCTTCACACATCGACGGCGGCAACCGGCGAATCACCACCTGAAAAAGAGAAATAACAATTCGTTGATTCAATATCTCAATAGTGAATCGGCGGTTGAAACTCTTTAAGGAGGACCAACGTCTATATCTTGCATTTTTCAGATTCACATCAACACATTTCTTAATGCAGCTTTGAAAATATATTGTAGTACAGTATCAGTTCATTTGTATTTGTAAAATTATCAATAACATGATGAAATCGCGAGATAAAATAAAACAAGGCATTTTTGTTTTGTGTATATTAGAGTATCCAATGAACATGACAACTAAATCATAGATTCTATATAAAATATGAAGGAACTACCCTTTCCTAGACCTAAGGACCTACGATTTCTTTAAAGTGAAAACACTAAAATTAGATGGATGCGAGCCAAATTTATTGTGTATTCGGCGCTTTATGTCCAAACATCGTGGTGTGTTAAGTATTCAGTACGAAATTTGCAACCAGTTAATTGCGAAAACACCTAGTTGTGTAGTGTCATCATAGAAGAGTCTCTCCATTTCTGCTTATAATATAAGCACTCTATGTCACCCTATTTTTTATGTAAAAAGTCCCATAGAGTATATTATTTGTCTCTACCAGATTTCCCAGGAGCGCAAATCCTATTTTAATTATAAAAAATACTTAAAGAGTACAACGATATTTTAATCTGTCTTTGAAAATACAAATATATGAGCCTTTTCTTTTCAGCCAGTACACATAAGTACGTATTCAGCATATGCAACAATGTTGTTAAAAAAAAAAAAAATATATATATATATATATAAAATTATATCAGTATAAAATAATTTACTTATTGACAATTTTTTAATCGAAAAGAAAATGCTTTAAATTCTTGATAATGACATAATTACATGTAAAGTGTGAAATCCGTCTAGAACAGCTATAGTTTGGTAATGATATTTTTTCCAATTGCATCTGTGAATTGCTGCACAGCTGATTAGATATTTATATATTTAGGTTACTAATTTGAGGCGGCTAAGTTAATTAGTACCTTCAGGACACGGCCCCTGCGCGATTTCGAGCGCTTGTCGCCGCTTGTCTTCAGTACCTTGACATTGTCAGACTTATCTTTTTCGTCTTGAGTCATCTTTGTCTACTAACAGATACACAAGGGAGATAAATTCACTGGAAATAACACGCACTTCATAAACCATAACAACACGTCTGGCTAAAGAGATCGATTTACCTGTGCTGTTTGGGTGTGCGTATGTGTCAATCAGCAGACAACTCATCACGAGTGTTTTTGTTTATTAGAGAGTCGCCGTAGCCGACGCAGCTATGCGCCAAATTTGAATATTATCAACGAACATTTATGCCAGTGGTGGCTCGCTAAACAGCACGGCCGGGTCATTTTTATGAGAAGAGTTAAATATAAACTGTCTGCAATTCCTAACCAGGGCTAGTACTCCAGCCAAACTGTTGACATCGAAAAAAAAACAGCGACGACAATCAATTCGGAGGGGACAAATTGCGGAAATTTCACCCATTAACCTACGTGTCCTATATGAGTAGTTCCCACAAGCGTAGTTGGCCTAGAATTCGACTAATAAGCATGTGACATATACTGTGCGTAATAATAAAAAAATTGAGATTTTTTTTTATTGTTTATGCTATTTCCTTAAAAAATATTAAAACCTAAGCATGTTATTCGTTCAAGTAGTAACTGTTTTTTTTTTTTCTAAATGTTTATAAAATGTTTGATGTTCGCAAAAGATTTGAATCTTATTAGAAATTTTATTTTGCTCAGGCGTCTTTCTACCTGTTACATGCAATTAGAAAGCTTTGGTCAAAAAAGCGCTCTATGCTAAGCTAGATGCCAATGCAGCGTAGAAACAACGTATAATTACACAAATTGTGTGAAAATAAATATGATCAACTTCTATATAAGTAACACTAATTTCTAATAATATTGATGGAACGCTATTTCGTTAACGAGTATAGTTCCGTTTCGATTTGTTTTTCTCATTAACTGAGTAACGTTCGACTGGAATGGCGGCATTTTACATTTTAAAAAATTCCCCTTGTATGTAATTCTGCTAACTACTGCATCTAAATCGCAACACAGTTAACCCATGGTGACTCTTCTAATCCAAATATTTAGACTATATTCGAAGTGAGCGCATGGAATGGAGGAAGCAGAATTCTCTCGTTTATCATAATATTGTTCTAAGTGCTATTGAGGAAGAAGCACCATTAAGTCCTTCATCTAGGGTATTATCTGCTGAGCTTATTAAAGCGTAGTTTAGAGCATGTTCAGCGAAGTTTGTTGAAACTCACACAGTTTCTAGTGGCGTTGAATCAGCCTATACTGGAGTGATCCAGTTCGTTTTATGGGACCCCACGCTATCTTGGTTATACATAGCTTCGATGTATTGTCAAGTATCATTTTCTATAAGAATGTTTGCAGATCTTAAAGGTTTATCGCTCGACAGCCGCCTACGAAGTCTGTCGTTCTCAGGATAATACGTCCAAGTGATAATGCACGTTTTGTGGGAAAATTGTCAGGATAACGATGTGATTGATTCGTTTTTTGTGAGTGAACGTCAGTCCATGCTATTGCGAAATTGCCATATTAGGTACTGTCGCCAAATAGCTGTCTAAATGCACATGGGCAAATTGAGCCAGTTGTCTTTAGTAAGGATATTCGTTTTATCCTCTTTTGTAGATGGGCTTATATTCAGTGGACCTGTGAATATAATGGAGCTCATCTGTTAGAGCAAATCTTGAGGTTATGTGTACAAAATGTACTGCACAAAGTACTTAATCAGAATAACCTGCATGTAATAACAAAGGCATAATAAACGTTTTCGACCTTTAGGATTATTCGAGCTCTAAAGTGTAAATTAACATTATGAGTGTCATTTTTCTATGTGTGAATGCATGTGTGTATGTGTATATATGTATATAAAACACACACAAAAGCTGACGGCGGTCGTTCCGGCTTGGTTCGCAGCGGCTTGGTACTGTCTGATTTTGTCTGTTTTATCAATTAACGCTTTGCAGTTGACATATCATTAAATTTAGGCAAGCGATGTCTGTTGTGAGTTATGTCCTATACTCCTAAAAGCAAGATAGCTTTATAAATTACTGCTTGATTGCGCATGTTCGATGCATGACGAACACATATTACAGTCTCAAAGTAAATTTAGACAGGAAAAATGCACTAATTGAAAGCAGGTTTATATTAAAATATACTCATGTGCATATGAATCTTGATTCCAACACCCAATGGGTGTACTTGAATCTTGTTTTTGTAGTTCATATTATACAGACAGTCGCTTTATACCTGGATGGTAAATACAATGGTGAACTACTCTTTACATTGTGTCTGCAAATTAAAAACAATCCAAGCGTAATATTTATAAATTAACCTTTTAAAATTGTTGTAAAAAACCTTTTGAAAATATATTGAGTTATTCAACGAGCAAGCATTATTGAAACTGACCACTATTTTCAGTAGCTTCGATCTTTGTATTGTATATTTTAGATCCCAGTCACCTTGGATTGAAGATGATCGGGCCATCGGGGAAAAACCAATATTTTTGCGAATGCTACTATCGAGCGCTGGCCTACAATTAGTTCCAGTTTGTGCTTATTCAATATAGGCTAAAACAGCTAGTGACCAACTATCGACGGTCGTTAGCATTTGTGGTTTGTGCAGTTATCACTACGGCTTTTGCCCATAATAAAATTTCATTTTGATATTATGTAAATGTAAAACCGCTAAACAACGCACTACTATGCGGCTAGTTTTCTGTCATTGTGTTGGTCAAACTATGTATAAACGACCATAAGGGGGTTACACATAAGAATGAACCTATGTGGTCTTGTCGAAACGAAATGAACCTTCTGTTTGGCCTGCATAATTTATGTGGTTACTGTAGTCGAGTGTTACAATACAGTCAGACATTTTCAATCATGTTAAGACTATATAAAAATGTATTGTATTATATATTGAGATAAGAGTGCGCGCAACTGTTTCATTTGTTTCGATAGGATTTCTCTGTCTGTCAGATATCAACCAGCATTGACACAGACTATCATCCTGTGTAAAGTAAGGTACCCATTGCTGCTTACACTCAGTAGCATTTACGGTTAGACAACATTGTTTTTTTCGTTTCAAATTTGAGATCGTCAGCCGTCTTTAATTCGCCATTGTTCCGATCGACGCAGCGTTTGATGCCAATAGGGGAGCTTCCGTTCAAGAAAATCTATACGGCAAGGTCTGGTCAAGCATCATAGGTACGTATAGTTGACCCACTGAGCGATTCAGAGTTGAAAAGAAATACACTGGCTTCTCGTGACTAGCTGTTCAGGATTTTAACCTGCCAACAACATAGGTGTACTGTGCTCGATTTTATAATGAAAACAAGCGTTTTTTTGCTATTTGCGAAAGCTTTTACAGTACACTATAGATGTCATTGGGAAATTTTCTGAGCAATGTATTTTGAGAACTCTGAAAAAGATGAGTATTGAATTTAGGATGTTCTTAGCGCTTTATCGATGAATCGGAATACTAGCTGTTTTAAAGTAAAAAAAAAAAACTTCACAGTAAAGCAGATTGCTTTACTGTGAAGTTTTTTTTTCATGCAAATCACGAAGGTGTATTAAAAGTTACAAGCAAGATCTACGAACATGTGCAACGTGTTAAAACACTATATCGTAGATTATAATGGGTTTCTCTCTAATTTTTGGCATCCAAATTTTGCCATGAACAAATTAGATGCAATTATTTGTTATATAACTTATCTAGTAAAGTCAAAAATGGCAATCTAACATATCTATATTTTGTATGCTGCTACACAGAGTACTTCCTTGGAAGTGTGGAAGGCGATTATGGATGACAAATATATAGTTTCGTAATCAGATCTGTTGGTTGTCCACATAGTAAGGAAACTTTCTGGTTGGTTTTACTTACACAGAGGACCATTTGAGCTTTGTTTGATTTACGTCGTAAGAATATCTAATTACAATGAAAGTTAGAAATTCAAATGCTCTTTGAATAAGCATAATATGTTACGAGTTAACCCATGAAGTACTCGTATGAAACATTTCCGTTATGCTTAACGTCAGCTTATTTGTCTGGTTTGGTTCAAGACATAGAAATCCTTTAAACATGGGTATAATTTAAAAACAATTATTGAGTGTTGAAGCTTCGAAGCCGTCAGTTCTGTTGTTACGGCATATTCAAGTATTAGGGGCGCCCTACAACGCCGTGACCCACTAAAATCTATATCATTATAACCTAGTAACGCTTAACACCACTACTGAGAAACTTCTCTCAACTAAGTCATCTGAGACACTGGCTAGCATCCTTGTCGTTCAGTCTTCCACCAACAGCGTCATCAGCTGAGTTCAATCTCGGATCATCAGCCACAGTCTTCCAATTACTTTCAAACTGTGATACGAAGTCAGTTGTCGGCCGTTTCTCTATCCAGGCAGGTATACATGTCTCTCTCTCCTCCTCCTCCCCTCTAAATGCGCCGGTTCGTCTCTCTTTCACTCTGACTTCCGAACTACGAACGGGCGCCAGGGGAAAACGAACCGAACTGAACTAGTCGCTATATGATCGCTTTCATGGCCCCCAAGCAACATTCTCCTTTCCCTTACCGTAGCCAGCATTCGTCAACAATCGTTGTGCTCGGAGCGCTGGTTGCGTAGGTTTATCGTGCCGTCGCTGCTTCTATTTTACAACGAAACCGGCAAAGGTTAGTTTGCCTGGCCGTTTGCTCTGTGGAACCGTTGAGATTAACTGGCACTCCGCTGCGACGCTAACTATGAACGTGGTGACGGTAATGGCAGACGCGACGACGGCGGCGGCTGCAGTAGCAGGAGAGGCAACGTTGCTTCCCCGCGATTCGGCTGGCCGTGCTTCTCGCCATATTAATGCACCGTGGTTCAGGCGCCGTGATCTCTGCGTTCAACGCTAACATTATCAGCAACAGCAGCGTCATCATCAGACGCGGCGGCGGCGGCAGCAGCAGCAGAAAAGGTCTATTCTGTCACTCAGTCGCTCTAAATATAGGCTCTCTTTCTGCACACACATAGTCTCTATCCGTCGCTTGGTTAGTTGGTCTATCTGTTAATGCTTTGCTGTTCCCTGCTTCCGCCATTGCGGCGTGTCCATGTAGATAGAGTGCTAGGTTAAGGCTGTCGAACTGGCATGCTCTACCAGCGCCGCACGCACGCCTTGGTCGTTCGGTTGCTCTACAAGGTTGCGTATCTATATGTTGCGGCGACTCTACGGCGCGCCGGCGATGGCAATGACGATGTCGATGGCGATGGCGATGTTGGTCGCTTAGCATAGATTAATAAACCGACAGAATACAACAACAACAGCAAAAACGACTAGTAGTACATAAAGTAGGAAAGAGTCCAACTTCAAGATTGCTGATGGCTGAACACCACACATTACTACTTTACTGGTCCTGCCAGTAAGACTACAGCGGCTGCCGCCGTCACGAGCGTTCAATCTGACCAGCATGCTGATCACTGAGGGAGGTTTTCCAAGCACGCAGCGCAAGGCAGTACCAGGCATCTTGATCAGCGAGTGTGTCTCAGCTCAGCCGCGGTAGCTGCTGTATCAATGCAGGTAGAACAGACAGTCAGAAGAGCAGGCTGAAGAGTGGAAGAGCGTGGCTGGGTTGTTCCGGGCCCGACCCAATCAGGGCTCCCTCAAGCTGAACATCGGCGCTTCATTAGCACATGAAAAGAAAAAACGAAAAGCCAAACAAGTAGAACAAACAACAGTAGCAGCACCCATTATAAAAAAAATATTACTTTATTAATAATGTGGGTACATTGAATTGAATAAGTCTACATATACAGTTGATATTCAAGTGGAACGTGCGCGTGTACAGGCGGGTGACCACATTGGGTCGATGATGAATACGTGTGCCAGTGGTGTAGCCGGAATTTATTGTGTTGTGAATTCCTGAAATTGAAACATCTATAACGATTGTTGCTAATCGTACTTGTTATAGTGTATGAGTGCTTTGGAAAAGTGTTGAAGTGTGTGGCGTGCCACGTCCTTCGTACGGATAATGGATGAAGCATTATCATAGCTTGGATCAGGACATTCTTAAAAAAAGTTGTCACCGTTGCTCGTAATAATGTGCACTCTGTTCGAGTTTCCTTCATTAATATCTCTGGACGAGGTAATCTCCCCGTCGCATTAATCACAGAAACATCTAGCTACAATCGTCATAAAATAGCAATTCGATAAAGAATTACTGTTTTAATGAAAATTGTTGGTTAGGTATTCTGTTTCGTTAGCTATTTAGTATAGTAGTATATCTATCTAGTAACCCCTTGAAGCAAGTCTTCAAAAACACCACAAACAATTCCTTTTACATATTATAATCTCGCTCTGTGGCACTATCAGCGGCAAGATGTGGTACACGATTAAAGCCCTCTATGCAACTAAGAATCCAATAATTCCCTTCCTATTGAAAACGCGCGACAAAGTCAATGCCCTTTAGAAATTTGATTCACTGCAAGATGGCAGTCACAAGCGTGAAAAATAGGTGATCAAAAATGAAACGAAGTAATGCTTAACTATTTTAGGCTCGAATATAACCTTTTTTAGAGCCTTGAAGTTCAGCGTCCTGTGTTGTGATCCCTATTTCGGTTCGGTTTCCTTTTGTATCGGTCTTTGTTGTAATGCTATAGTACCACAGCGGTACTGAGGCTAGCCGTATAAGGAAAACAGCTGGGCGTCACCTTTGAAAAACTCTTCCTATACAACATTTATTTGACGGTTTTGCCCAAGTGCCGCAGTTAGACATCCATTTATAATGAATTTTATTATCATCGTTGATATAACTAGTATTCTGAGTTCACTCCGTTCGTGTTCGATCACCGATGTACTGCTTAAGTAAGTTATCATTTAGCACTTCGAAAATACGCTCGGTAGCTGCATGTAGACAACAACGCCTTCGCGGAGGCGTAGTTGGGGAGAGGTTCAATTGCAAATGTTCTGATTGCCTCGAGTCGCATAGCAGGATGCTCGTGGGGGTCATTTTTGTGCAACCATTACAAGCCACTATTTTCGCATTATCACGTATAAAGCCGCAAAATGGCTTTCTTATTTAATTTATTTTAATATATATATTTAATTTACTATAGCTCTATTCGCCCTTGGCTGCGGTGGGGATCGTTACGCCAAACCCCGCCAACGATATACACTCCGCGATAAGTGCGGCTAAATGGACAAGGACACTGCGTTATAGATGAAACATGTATTCCCTGTTTGTTGTAATAATTCTACAATCATATTGACTACTTATTATTTTTAGCTTTCCCAGTTCGGAATTGGAAACTTTGTTCGTTCTTTTGCGTGCGTGCGTGCGTGCGTGCGTGCACACCAATATAGGAGCTATTCATTACAAGACGATCCTTAATCGCACCTGTCTGTAACGAAGAACTGGTTGAGATTCCAATGACTTTTGTGAACTGAACAAGCAAGTAAACCCGACAGGATGGATTGTTGAGTAAGGATTGACAGAATAAACACCGGTTGTACGAGAACCTAGCTAGAAGCGTGTATCGTACAGATGGCTTTAAATGAAAACGTTACGGCTGTTTAGACAATGGTAGCTACTACTGGGTTATAACGCCTGCATAACCAAACACTGATATAATTTTAAACTCGGTTAATAGCTAAAGACTGCATTTTGCAATTTCGTTACTAGGTATGATTGTATTAAACGTTCCTCTTAGTTAGTACAATCAAAAGGCACATCATTCTTTTTGGGCACTAATATGTTTGTGATTACCATCCATTTGTCTAATCAGTTCTACATAAACTGGCCATGGTATCATGGAAGTGTTAGGACAATGCAAAAATAATTAAGGCCTTTTCAAACTCCTGCAAATGGAGACGCTTTTCGGAACAGCAAAAAAACAAAGAGATAAATATTACTTGCTTCTTTGAGTTACTACACGAACGCCAAGTACAAAAAAATGTATACGCACGCCTGTGGTGGTTCCGACACCAAAAGCAAGTGTTTTTCCTTTCAACTTCATTGTTTATATTCGGACCTTCTGTACGGAACTGATGCATAGGACACATGTTGAGAAACTAGGCCATCCAATGGAAACGTATTTAAGCCATAGTTCTAAAAATTATTTTCGTGCTGGTATATATACAACTAAGCCAAGAGCAAAGCATAGCTCTCGACTAGTTGAACGTAATGCTAAGGATTATTTTGCCAGCGCATACGAGTGGTATTACGTAGAGA